GTGATGAGTCGACAGATATGAGAAGTATAACAGAAGGTATCAACTCATATTTGAGTTACTACTAACCCTTGAAAACAATCATAGAAAATATAAAAATTATCAAGAGAGAGAGGATTCATTGGCCAAGTATGTTTGGTAAGGATGGACCATTCTAATCGCAATAGCAAAAAAAAACCTAGAATCTGCCGTTTCCAATCCGATTCAAAAGAATATTGAAATCAGATATCTTTTCATCAAAGACAATAAAATTTTTCTTTAACTTCGTACAAATGATTAAATTAACTGTTCAGAAATTTAGTTGAATACTATTTACAAAAGAAAGATACATTTCAATCGAAGGATACATATGTATTACTTTACAACTACTTCTTTTAATCACACTGACAAAACTCAAAAAACAAAAAGAAAAGTATTCATTATAAAAATTTGGTTCATTATCTTCTTGTCCTTTAACAACATGATTTTTATCATGATTCAAAATACTCTTGTGATTTCTGTTCATTCCTAATTCATTGCTGTATGCCAATGTTTTTGTAATTGTTTCCGATGATGTTGTATTCGTCATGTGGGACAAGCGATTCCGATACGATAATTACATTGTCGGATCTAATTCCGATATGATTTCAAACAAGACGATCTTGCTCATGTCTAATGTATGAACGAAAATTTTGATCTTAAATTAGTTCATAACTTTCGTCATTTTAAGAAAGTGATAATCGCATATTTTTATATATAAACCAATGAGATAGCTCTTGTTAAGATTAATTAATTTTTAACCATAAATATATTCAATATATGTTTTTTCGGAATATATCTGCTGCATCTCTAATATATATCAAATTTATGCCAGTGTCATCAGTGAACATATATTTATAGGTAAAATCATTTCATTAACAACATGACTTTGCAAAATTAAAACATGTGCATTTCGGGATAATAAACATTCGTAGAACGAATTTTTATATGTTACATGTATGTTAAATTACTCTGTATATTCTTAAAAAAGTCAACGCTAGAGACTTTTATTCCGAGAAGTTATCGGTAAAAACCTAGCGTGACACAGAAAGATATCGACTTCCATTTTCATACATTTTAGTTTAAAAAAAAATCCGAATTGAAACAGTGTTTTTAAAAACTAAATAGTATATTCTGTAGACAACTTCTAAGGCTAAAAAAATTTCTATGCAAAACTTTTTCTGAGCATACTTAGATTTTTCAAAAACGCCGATTGACTTTTCTTTGTTCAAAAAAAGATCCCAACGATGCAAATTCTTCTTCAGAATCTCTAGATGACAATTTTTATCACTGAAACATTTGAGAACGATCAATAATAGATCTCATAAATCATAAAATTTGATAGTTCATTGTATATCTATTGTCCTTAGTATTAATAAACAGTTTATATTTCTAGACCTAAGTTTTTTGCTATGTATTATATAAAAGGTGGCGCTAAACTCATCGTTGTCGAGACGTTATTCGAAATCAAATAAATGACGTTTTTTTTTCCTTCTCTTTTGTATATTGTAGATATCGTTGTTATTTACAAGAATAACTAACCATACAATGGGTGCACAAATGAGCAAAATTGAAGATACTATTCATGATGCTTATAAAAAGACATGGCCACAAGCTTGGTTAATATCAAAATAATTTCCTTTTTGTTTAGTATCATTTTATTTTATTCAGGTATCTGGCTCCATCATTTCTTGCATCACTTGGTGCTTTAGGTTTTGTTGGATATGCCTTATGGCAAAATAAATCTGTCGCATCATCACCTAATCTTTCATTTTTACATCTAATTGGTGTTGCTGGTGGATTTGGTATTAGTTTTTGGATGATAACTGTTCATGGTAAAAATAATTTGTTTGATTTCTACAATTTACGAATCTCATTTAGGTCGTGCTGTTCAACGTATGTTAACACGTCAAGAATATGCAACAGTACAATCACATTTATCAAATGTTTATTTTTCGTCAACAGCTGTTGTAGCTAGTTTAAGTTTAGGAACATTTTTACTTCGTCATCCATTGAAAACATGGTCAAAAGAAACAAGAAATTTGGTTTGTATAATAAAGAACAAAAGGAAAAAAACCTCATATTAATAATAATATTATTTGAATAGGGTATTGCATTATTTGTTGCATTAGCTGCAGCTGAAGTCAATAGTCTTGTTCTTAATTCATGGGTTACAAATTTAATGTTTGATCGAAATAATATTGAATTTTTACAAGCAACTAAAGTATAAATTTTTTTTTTGTTTGGTTATATTTAATAAATAATTTTTGTATTTATTTCATAGACAAGTGATGATATTGAAGGATTAATTCGTAATGATTCAAAATATCGTGTTGTAAACAATAAATTTAATTTATTTCATTCGATATCAATGGTTTCAAATTTGGTTAATCATGGTATTCAATGGTATCATCTATTCTTTCTTGCTGACAAATGTCTTGTGCTCTAAAAAAAAATCATTTTTACTCTTTGTAGACCTTTAGTATTATGAGAAAAGAATTAAAAAAAAAAACTTATTAATTTTTTTTCTTCTTAATTAAAGCATTTATTAGAAAAACAACATCTTTGCTTTTTTTGCAGATAAATGACTGAAAGTATTGAAGATTCATCATCAAGTTGTGATGAAACATTAATTGATGAAGAAGATCTAAATAAATTTACATCAACATTAGATCAATTTACACCTGCTATACCTGAAATAGTAACAAAATATTATATGAGATAATGTGGATTACAAACAGATGATGATCGTGTTGTTAAATTACTTTCTGTTTCTGTACAAATATTTATGACAGGCATTTAACATAAGAAGAAAGTTTAACAAAAAAAAAATCTTTTGATTTGTTCTCTAAGATATTATTAATAATTGTTTTCAATTACATAAAATACGTGAAAAATCCACTAATCGATAGGTACCGGCGGCAACAACTGAAGCAACAATTACAATTACTGATCAATCGACAAATGCAGCTAGTGGTAGAAAATCAATAGCATCAACAAATCAAACGTTAACACTTAATGATTTAACACATGTTCTTAAAGAATATGAAATTAATGTTAAAAAAACATTTTATTATACATAATGTAAATAGAAAAAAAAAACTTTTTTTTTCTTGTTTCTATGTAACATCTTTTTCTTTTTGATGATATAATAAAAAAAGAAAATTTATTTTTGAAGTTAGATTCACTGTTATTCGTCAGAATAGAAGATGTAACAAAAGCTGAATATGAAAAGCAATTAACTCACAGAGATTTTTTTTAACTTTAATTTTTACAATAGAAATACAATCGAATTTTTGAAATCAATATATGGAAATAAACATGCATTTTATCTATTCAGACTCATGATAACAATGTTATTTATACAGACTATTAACGTCTAAACATATCAAAAACAGGCTTTTTCTGTATTGTTTCTTTTTCTTTTTTTGTTATTCTAAAGGTTAACATAAATGTAAATACGACAATTAGGATTGTTAATAATACAATTCGATTTTTTATCTTCACAAGATAAATCTATCGACAAAGTCCAATAAGTTATCTATTAAGAAAAATCAACGATGAGAAATATACGAAAGAATATTAGGAGCCTGCGCGAGATCAACTAAATTTTTTGCCGAAAATTTAGTTTTAACATATGAACTTTTTGATAAGTAGATTTTGTACTCTAATATTTTCTGTACCAATTGGTGCATTGTGGGAGTTCCAATAAAGTTATATAGAAGCATCCTAGCACAAAACAAAGTCGAAGTCAAATTCAATTCCAGCTTTCTTTCATGTCCATAAGCCTTGATAAGACGTCGTTGGAATGATTAAAAGCCGTCAATTTGTACAGTCAATATCAGAGAACAAAACTTACTATTCAAAAAAAGTTCATACCTTAAAGCTGTAATTTCAACAAAAAAATTTAGTTGACTCCATTCCAGGACTCTAGTATAATATCTATTATTGTATTTTGAAGAAAAAACTTTTCAAATTGAAATATTTCTCAGTAACCTTGATGAAATACACATTTCATAATGACAATCGTATTATTTCATTATTTTATCGAATAATAAATTTTGAAGAACTAATATTATTTGTATCAATAATGAGACTTCACTCGATTTATATTTCGATGGAATTCAATTATATGATGAAATTCTTATTTATATACCATGATTAAACAAATTTACTTTCAGTATTAGCAAAGTTATTCTTAACAAGAATGCTAGCATTGATCATTTCATTGGAAGAAGATATGAACAAGTTGATTTCCATATGTTAATAGCAGAACAATGGAGGTCGAAAGGAGATCGCATATTAATTCGAATATTTCATATTCATCTCAACAATTCTTTTCAAAATGACATGTTTGATAAAGTTTGAAGCTTGTTGATGAATGATATCCTTCCTTTCGAATATCAATTCTTCAAACTCATCTCTTCAAATTTTGCTTATCTCAAAGAATGATATATATGTAATAATCAAACACAAAGACAAGCATAAATTATCAACAACGATTATATTTCCTTATATTACTCTTCTCAATCTGAAGATAGCATATGTGGATTATGCTGAGTAACTTCTCTTTGATAAAAAAAAATGTTCATTTGCCTAGTTGACGAATACTCAGCATCCAATAAAAATCACTTGCAATAGTAACAAACAGTTTCATCAATGATGTAGCACGTCTCAATTGTACTAAATTGAAAAGTCTTAATGAAGGCATACCGTTTTATTTGGTCAGAAAATGTTCATCAATATTTTCCTTTATTATGAAGATAACTTTTTTTTTATTATAAAAGTTTGTCAACGTTAAACGTGCTGCGATGATACTGATAAGAAAGAAAATACTTCTCATATATACTATACTTCAACAAATATTATGATTATTTTGGTGTTAAATAGTAGTTATTTATCTATGGTGTAAAGAATAACGTAAATATTATCGTTTTTATTAACAATAATCATTTTTTCTTATTTAATATAGAACGACTAAAACATGTTCTTATGTGATGTGTAGAACGAGTCTTGAAATTAGAATAATCTCAAGAGGATTCGGACCTATAACTCGTCTTGAAAGAATAACGATAGTTTTGCTTGATTTTCTTCTATAGGACGGAGTATTGGCTGGAAAATTCTTGATTTGAAAGTTTGTTGATAATTAGATTTCATGATCCTAAGAGTATTCTTAGGATTAGAAGACCTAATTAATGACAAAATTTCAGTTGAAATATGTTCTGTTTAAAAATCTCTTCGAGATTCTCTCAATAAAGACAAAATGAAGCTCATAAAATTTCTTAAATTTCACTTAAAAATCAAGTTGCAGATTTATTTTCTTGAATGAGAGTTTCTGCTGTGAGACATAACATTTTGTATTATATACAATCAACAAAAGCATTAAAAAAAATAATCATGTTCATTGATTAACGTATGTAAATGTTGTAAATCATTTTCATTATTAAAAACCAAAAAAAAATAAATTAAGATTATGTAATGGTTTAGCACGACATATTCGAATAAATTCAGAATCAAATGGACTAAATTGATGATTATTTTGGCATGCCAATAACGTAAAAGTCATTCTTCTGTTAGAGTATCACTTCATTCTATCTTAAATGCTGTCTAAAGAATTTACAAACAAAATCATTAAATATCTTCATAAGAAAATAAAAAATTCTTTACAAGATATTTTTCACCGATATTTGCATGTGATATAACATATGTTACTTGATCACTATAATCTTTTCGAATAGATTCGCCAAGATAATGAACAAAATCACTAAAGTCGATCTAAAACAAAAAAAAAATATTATTCAACAAGAAATTAAATTTTTATTAACTTGCACGTGTATCTCTTCGAATTCCAACAAAGCATATGACAGCTGAAGATAAATGTTGACAATATAATGGTCGATTTCTTCTTGGTACAGAAATATCCTAAAAAGAATTTTTTTTTAATTCTAATTTTAGGAAAAAAATTTTATGTTTTTACAATTTCTTTTTCCGCGCATGATAATACAATTTCAGAATTAATTGTATAAATATCTTCATTTTCTTTTACATATTGAAATATACAACATCAAATGAATCCACAATATAAATACGTAATTGACGTTGTGATAATAAAATTTTTGTTTCAACCAATGTACGAATTACTTGTCGTTCATCATTAATATATTCATATACATAACGATCCTCAACTGACGAAAGAATTCGTTTATTGGAACAAGCAGAACCGATAATACACAATGTAATTGCTTGAAATAAAAATAAATAAATTTGATTAAAAAGAAACTATAGGAAAAAAGAATATTTACTCCAATCATTCGTATTTGCTGGTGAAGTATTTTTACTGCTTTTTTTAAAATTTATTACGTTGATGATGGATTTTATAAGTCGAAGAAGATGGAGAAATATTTTGTGTTGTCATTTTTTTTTTGGTTTAAAGGACATCTCAAAAATGAGTTGAGTGACTAGATCTAAATAAAAGATTGATTGAAATGAATAGACATTATGATTCGCTTTTTCTATTACGATTAGTTAGTGGAATGCTAGATTCGATAAAACATAAAAGTTAAGAATCAGAAATTGAAATTTCCGTCATGGATCAAACGCTGGTAACAACCCGCACCGTAGTGTCACCTATCTGTGCTCTCATGTGATTGGTCAGTAGAGCTCATCGGGTCCGGGTCTGAAATTTTTTGCCCATTAGGACCAAATCAAAAAAACTTTGGATGCAGATAATAAAATTTTACGAATTTCTTTAAATTTTCGATCGTTTGATTCAAAAAAGCTTAATTTGTTTATAAAAAAATATGAGATTTTTGGCTCATAAAGTGTGATTGACTTGTCATAAAAATGATCTATCAGGTTCGAGTCTCAAAATCTTGATCGACCGGGTCTAGATCCGGGTCCAGAAAAATTAAATTCACCGGGTCCAGGTCCAGAAATTCTTGGACCCGATGGGCTCTATTGGTCAGTATAATTGAACCAACCACCAAATTAGTAGCAACAACAATGAGCGATGTTCTCACGATATCGTCCTTTCATTCGGATAGACAACACACATACAAGAGATCAGCAGAATTCTGCATAAATCCGTTGCATAGTTGCATTTTCTCGCTCTTCCTGCTCACAGAGTCATCATAAACAGAATGGCAGCAACCGTTCATCACAGAAGGTAAGTGATGTTTCATTGACGTTTGCTTACAATGTGTATTAATTTCTTTGTTTCCTATTTCAGGAAAAAGAATCCATCGTCATCACCAAAGAATATTTATTTTGCAAGTTGCCGTACTGACTTTCTCAAATTGGTCGAACAAGCACATGGATTAAAAGTCTCGCGTTTGTTAGGAGACCTTGATATTGATTCGGCTCAATGTTTGATTGAAGTTGATATTATTTCAGTAATTCAATCTGACACAAAATTCATGAGTGTTGAAAGTCGGGAGTATGTGTTCGAAAAGGGTACGAACAATCTCCGTAAGGCGGTGAAGATCAATTTTGAGCGTTTTGTTCATCAAATGAAAGACGTAGCTCGTCAAGTTTGTAATGGAAAACGTCCACGATCAACGGGTAAGTAAGAATATATTCGATTAAATTGTTGATCTCACAAATTTTTAGTAGAGGATGACAGTTTATCTTCTTCATCGTCAAATGCCTTTCCAGAACCATCAAAACGAAAGAAGATAAATGTTGGACGAAAGGTCAGTGATGCTTTTCAGATATCAATACACGACATACTCAGTTCAAATGCTCTTTGTTTATTTAGATTAAGCATCGTACCGGATCCTCTCGAAGTGAGTACGCTTATCAAAAACTGTGAGAAATATAGTTACTCTTTAGTCTAGAAGATGAATCCTTTTCCAGCGGCGTTTATGACATTCGGCCACCAATTTTCTTCAAAGATTTGAGTACTGAAGAGTAACTCGAGCATAACGGGACCACTGCTACACGAATTGACCATTTTCTGATACAATACTGCTTTATTCAAACAAGTAAGCTATTCAACAAGAATTCACGCATCCATTTGTTTTCTTGTATTTCTAGAGGATCTCACAAAAACAAAAGTAGTTTTGCTTCACGATTTTAAAGTTCATGAAGAACAACTCTATGAGATGTTCATGTACTTACGCAACTCATTTTGAGATGCAGTGAAGGAAAATATCGACAAAAATAATCTTACCGCTTCGCTTTTAAAAATGCTTAGTGAATTTGTAAGTGTCACCTGTTTTGCATTCTTCCAAGTACACATTAAGTTGTATTTTTTCACTTGCAGAAGCCAATTGGATATAATCAAACGTAAAGCTTTGTTCGCCTTCGATTCGGTGCTCTCTCTTTATGTGTGTTTCTGTCTATGTGTTCATTATTCAACTATCTATGTTAACTTTGCTGTGTTTTCTTATCCATGTACTATGAAATGATGAATAAAAAAAGGCTTCTAGACTAGGTAAACATTTTCAATGAAGAAACCGCATGTTCAGATAATTCAAAAAGAATATGATTTTTCTATACGACTTTCAAGAAAAAATACAGTTCATATCGATAGAACGAGAAGGACGCAATCTTACAAAACGGTGTGTATTCGAACCTAGGCACACAGCCTTGTACGCATCGACTAGACAACAATCTTTACTTGGACAGAAACTCAATTCGTCACAGGCAATACCTACGTGTATAGAAAACTACACCGTGAAGAGACATATTCGGTAAATCAACTAGCTTGACTATATCTAAATTTTTTGTAGAAATAAGTAACAAATATGCTCCCCATTGACAGAGTTACGTCGTCTCTTTATAGCGTTCATTGGCTTTTGGTTGAAGCGAAATTGTTCATCAGACACACCTTTGCAAATAGATACCACCAATGTAAGAATAACTAGTACCAACAGAAGACACTGCATTTTTCATTCCATTATTTCAATTATTTCTATATATGCAAAGGAAAAAGGAATTTCAAATGTGCTCGGGAGCGTTGATTCATTTCTGCAATCTTACACGCATTGAGGGTTTGATACTATTAATATTGACAGACAATATCCCGTAGTTCTACACTCATATCTACAATCCATGTGGTTAATGATTAATAAAGTGACAGAACCGATGTAAAAAGAAAGCACCCGGCGGTCTTACGAGCAACGAATTCTAGTGAGTTATCGAACAAAAACAGCATCCAATGACACTCATTGGGTTAGATAAGAGATGAAAGATCTCACTTCGTATCGCACGGAATCGAGAACGAATCATCGTTCTTTCTGCTGTTTTAGCAGATGTTCTCGTTTTCTCAAGTAACCGTTGGGTGTTCGATTTTACGGAGTGATATTACTTCCAGTACTAGCCGATGGCGAGAACGCATTCGAGAGTCCATGATGATTGTAGACTCCTGAAATCGACAGTTTGTAGAAACTTGATTCTCTTGAAAAATGAACGAAAGATTGCCAAATCTACATCGACTACATTTTTATCTTTCAATCAAGAACTAAAGAGACCTTGCACGAGCAAAAGGATTTTTCCTATTTAGCTGCTTTCTACAATAAACTGTCTGTGATGTCTGGAAACGATACATAGTTAGAAAGGAAAAGGTCGGTACTCAAACTCAAAACAAATACTTGTCATACTGCCTGTTTCGAAGCACGTTAAACTGACTACAACTTGCGGATCCTATGTTTCACTTGGTTCAGTTCGTCAGCCAGGTTTGCACGATGCCATCGCTCGATATTTCTTATGACACACATTGGCACGATTGTGGCATAGTAATGCTCGAATTCTTTCTACAAAACAAAGTGAAAAAATGCAACTTTCGATCAACAGATCAATACGGACCATTGTTGAGTTTCTTCGCTTTGAGTAATTCGCCGCATGCATCATAAATTTGCGGTGAAGCAAATTGAGTCGGCTCGTAGGTGTGTAGGCCGTAGATGGGTGATGTGTGCGAAGAGGAGAGAGAACGCTGATGTTGAAGAAAATTTTGAGGTGATTGCATACGACGATAGTATTCGTCCTGTATCGAAAGACGCCACTAGAAAATATCCTAACGTTTGAAACGTAAGACTTATACATAATAAAGGGTGTGTCCTAAGTTTTGATCCCTTCAAGTAATACGCATTTGTTATATGTTTTTTCGGCAGAATAGGCTAATATTCACAATATATACACTAGACATCTAAATCTACTCTACGCTAGAATTTCAGCTTTCTACCTCTTATGGTCACAGAGATACAAGTAACTTAAAATTCATAGGAATTTCTTGAAATAACGGGTGAGCCACAATAAATGGGCACATTTTGCATTTTATTTTCTCATCATCTAATATGTCATATTAAAGAAAAAAATATACCACAAGATGCAGCCTGAAAAACTCTATAACCTACATAGTAAAGTTTATTTTAATTGTGTACATTTTGTTTTGAAAAAAGAAAAATTGCGAAAAGATCACTTCTTTCTATACGAATGAAAAATTCATTTTTGTTTATTTCATCCTTTTATCACCTAATACGTCATTTAAAAAAAACAGAATATACTACAAGATGCAACGTGAAAAGCTCTACAACCTGCATGATGAATCTTATTTTAATTATGTACTTTTTGTTCTAAAAAAATGTCCGATCATTTTTCATACCATCGAAAATTGGTCTCACCGAATTTTGCTTGTTTTGAAAACAAAAAGTACACAATTAAAATGAGCTTTACTATGTAAGTTGTAGAGATTTTCACGCCGCATTTTGTGGTATATTTTCTTCTTTAATATAACGTGTTAGATGATGAAAAAATAAAATATAAAACGCAGCCAATTTTACTGGTCTACTCATTAATTATTTCAAAATTTTCCTATGAATTTTAAGTTACTCGTATCTCTGTGACTATAAGAGGTAGAAAGCTGAAATTCTAACGTAGAGTATATTTAGATGTCTAGTATGTATGTTGTGAATATTAGCCTATTCTGCCGAAAAAAACATATAACAAATGAGTATTACTTGAAGAGATCAAAACTTAGGACATACCCTTTATAATTTACAGCTAAGTAAATAATTTCAATTTATTTGTCTGTTTCTTTCTTGATGACTAATCGAATAAAAGCAATGTTTCCAATATTAAGTACCTCAAACAAAAGCAAAGTATCCAAAGTACTTACGACTTAGAAAAACTACTGTATTTTGCATTTTGATGGAAAACACACGGTATGTTGATAGTACTTTGTAAAATAAAAAAGCACTTTACTTATTTCTTATACTATTATTTAGAAGCTACTCGTCTTCTGCTTGTTTATTGATTATACCAGTAGATGAGATGAAGCAAAAAGAAATTTTCGTTTAGTCATATTGAATTTAGCATTGAAATTTCTTTTTATCTTTTTAGATTATCAATATTATTTTTTTTTTAATACTTTCTTCATTTATTCTTATCATACATTTAGATCTAATTCATGATTCCCGATTGTTTTGAAAAGTGGAACGGACTAAAATTTCGAACAGTCTGAAGATTTTGGCAGAAAGTGCTTTGTCTAATTTTATTAGCAGAAGCCAAACACAGAATACTAAATAAATCGATTTTCTGCGAGATTTTATTGGCAGAAAGTGTTAGAAAATTTCTCAGAAGTCGGACGTAGTTTCGATTTGTGGTGGGGGTCAGACCCTTAGCCCCTCCCTAATTGAAGAGCATGATTTCATTTCATGTATGTGTATTTAATTAACTGGTTCTTTGATTTTTATTAAGCAAATCTAATTATGTTGTGCTACTTCGATATTTAGAACAAAGTACTAGAAAATACTTTGTCAATGGAAGCAAATATCCGAATATACTTTGTTTCAAATTTTTACTGAAACACTGGAATAAAAGAGCAACGTGTGACTATCCTAGATGCAGGTGAATGAGTAAATTCTTTATTAAATCACTTATTTCGAAGAAAGATAAGTTCTTTAAATTCACAAGATTTATTTTAAATTATTTTTTTTGTAGTTTTATTCTAAATATTAAACTTGTTTGTAGGAAAATTTGAGCGAACTTTTGTAGTGTAGACCAGGCCTCAATCAACAATTGATATTACAAATTTTTTCTCATTGATTTTCTCGTTGATCAATCAAATATTGTTTTCAATAATCTTTTTGATATCGATGGATATGAGTGTAAACTATGGAAATATAGAGGAGTTCTTTCATGTGTGTATTAATTTCAAAATGAAATTATTATACTGTTGATTTTTTTTTTGTCAAGTAACTTGCGACCCCTATAATAAAATGAAATGATCGGTGTCCATGCCTTTCTCTGTGTACATGGTTTTAAGATCATTTGAATATTTCTTTTTTTTTGTTTTGTTTGAAATAATGTTTTCTTGCAAAGTCAATTATTTTCTATTTAATTCTTTTCGAATTACTTGTAAGATTAAAAAATATTTTATTTGAATTAAATCAATAACTTTGGTGTTTTTTTCTTTTTAAGTTAATCAAATTAATTCAAGATTCAATCATCAAACAAATATTGATGGATGTAAATAATAATTTTCTATTAAAACAACTCGCGATTTTAAATCAATTCTTTCTGTTTTTCTTTTAAGTTTAGTACGTCGATATTTTGATAAAGAAATAAATGAACATAAAGAAGCAAGTCGTTTACCATCAACATTTCATTTAAATGATGTTAAATATTATGAAATACTTTCTCATATTCGTAGTAAATCTGATCGTCTTTCATATCTACGTTCTTTAATATCAATTATTAATACTCCACCATCATTTGCTATTCCACATGATTCTGGTGGTATTCATACAGGATTTCTATGTCCATATCGTATTCTTCGTCAATCCGATCTAGTCGATATATCAGCATGGAATTATTTAAAAGCTCAAAGACTTAATGAAAATCTTGTATTGAATTGTTCTGGATTATCTAGTCTTCCATTAGCACAATTAATTATTGATATGAGATCAAAATTTAATTTATTAAATGAACCATGGTGGCCAATATTAATTGGTGTATCAAATGATATGCATAAAGAAATAATCGATATATTAAAAATAAAATATCAATTACATGGTGCACATTTATATACATGGGAAACAAGAGAAGATATATCAAATAAAAAAGATTTAACATTAATTTGTGGTAATCGTGGTGAAACAATATATGAACTTGATTCAAATATGAATTATATTGTTCAAATTGATGGTGATCAACGATTATGTTGTTTAGGTAATGCAACAAATGATAGTGAAAAATTATATAAAAATATTGTTAAAATTGAATCAAGAGTAAAGTAAATTTGTTTTTTTTTTTTTTAATATTATTTTTTTTAATACAAGATTTTTTTTAGACGTTTTAATTTATCAAAAAGAATTCTAACATCTGATCTATTTGCAATATTAGCTTCATTAAAAATGAAAGGTTTATTTTATAAAAAAATGTTAAAAGAAGATGATGATGAAACTTATAATATAAAACGAAAAGCTCGTAGTGGTTTAATTTCTAATTAAACATGTTTATTTGTTTTTTTCGTTATTTCAGATTTAATATGAGTACACTTGAAGATCTTCGATCAGCAGTTAAACAAACACTTGAACAAAATGGTTCATTAGCTGCAACACGTGCTAAACTTCGTGCTGATATATTTGCAACATTACAAGATCCAACTGAAGTTAAACCAAGAATTCCACATGAGAATTTACTTATTAATGAACTTATTCTTGAATATCTTAATTATAATAATTTACATTGTGCTGCGTAAGTTAGTTCTTTTTTTCTATTTTGAGAATAATTATATTGAAATGTTTCCTTTTTTTTTCAAGGTCAGTACTTGCTGTTGGTATGTTGATACAAAAAAACAAATAGAAAAAAAGATTTTATTTAACGAGAATTTTTAGAATCGGGACAACCAACACCATCACTTGGTAGAGCTTTTGTTGCAGAACAATTGAATATACATGATGATGATAAAACTCGACAATTGTAAGAATAATTTTATTGAAAAAATGTTTTGTTCTTTTTTTATATTACAATATTGTAAATGAGAGCAAACAAGTTTCAAGAGCCACACAGAGATTAGTTTTGAATTTCTAGTGAGCTGTAAAAAAAAAGGTCTTACTAGTGGCGTGGATAACCCATTGTCAAAATACGTAGTGTCGCCATTATCTTATTTCTCTATAGAAAACTTGAAGAAATTTTCTTTTTTTTATCTAGTGATAAAGAAAGCGATGCTCTATTTGATCAATCTTCAACTACTATCATAACAATAAAGTTTCGATAAGAAATGTTATTGTGTAAAACTTGAGCCTGTTTAAAAAAATAATGATCATAAGCATTTTTGTTATAACTCAAGATCAAAAAGAGTTAGAGAACTGCGGTTTTCATTGTTCGAAAGAAGAGAGGAAGATGCATCGAGTTGCATGTTATAGGCTTTTTTTATTTGATCTTTTAAAGGTTTTCAAGCGATCTCTTTAACAACAAACCTAACCTGTGAGATGTTTATAGAGAATGTTCAGTTGTCAGGTGTGTTTTCAAACCCCCAATAGAAGATCTACAAAACTTTACAATGATCAGATATTTAGAATTAATCATTCAGAAGTTATAGGCAATTCTAGTCAAAGCTGTAAGTGATTTTTGTAGCAATTTCTGTGAAAAAAGAATTTTTTTCTATTCCTGTTTTGTTACAAAACCATTTTTTTCGGCTCTAAAACTTGATTAAACAAATTTCAGACAGCATATGAGGAAAAATTATAAAATACAATTCGATGTATCTTCGTCTCCTCTTTCGAACGATGAAAACTGCAGTTCTCTAGCTCTTTCTAATCTTGAGTTATTGCAGAAATGTCTATGGTCATTATTTTTTTAAACAGGCTCAAGTTTTACACAATAACATTTCTTTTCGAAATTTTATTATTATGATAGTAGTTGAAGTTTGATCCAATAGAGCATCGTCTTCTCTGCCACTAGATAAAAAAAAAAAATTTCTTCAAGTTTTCTATAGAGAAATAAGACAATCGTCCCACTACTTTTGGATTGCCCTAAGTAATAAATAGAACTATTTGTTTGAAAAAAATTAAGACAAGTAATAAAATGTAATTAGTACTACTAAAAAGTTCAGCTTTTACCTTTCATATCTGATTCCATTGATATATTCAATATTAGAATATTTGAAAAATTGAATTGACGTTCTTTTTTTTACTGTCAGATATTCATTCATAGAAGTAATAGTCGTACGAAATTTGAATCGATTGATTATTATATTGAAATTTTCTTGTGAAGGACTATTCAGTGTATAATTTATTGATAATACATTTACAATAAAAACAGAGAGTGTTTTATCTCTATGTACTCTGCTATTATAATTTAGCGTGAAGTAAAAGTACTGTATTATCAAGCGAGAATCGAATTCTTTATATAAATAATGCTAAATAGTACACTACATTTATAAAATTCAATTCGTAGATCTTTCTAATCATTGATCTTTTTCACAGATTCAGAGTAGAGCACAATATATTCATGCCTGCGTTTTTTTCTAAATTCATTATTAGATAGTTTCTGGAAGAAAGTCATTATCATCTAACTTGTATTCATTATTCTGATTCTTGTTTAAAAAAAAGTTGGAAATCTATTTTTATTTAATTTCTTTTAGACCACTACTCTATTCATTATTATCACATTTTGCAACAAATACAAAAACGGCTAATCGTACATTATCAAATTAGAAAAAAATAATAAAATTCTTCATTAATCAATGCTAATTTCTTTAGAATTTATTAACAGATTTTGTATATTGTGTGTGTGTGCTTTTTTTCTTTGCTAATTCAATAGATTGTTGCAGTAGAATAAATGTATAATACTTGTTTCTACTGCCATCTATAGTCAAATATAATTTGATTGGTTTGTATTTAGTATTGATCGGACAAACAAAGAAATACATTTTTGTTTTCTTCATTCAAGTATATAGAATTTACAACAGAAAAAGTTTTTTCAGATGTCCGAAAGTGAAGATTTTGAATCATTCAAAGTACTTGAACTTCAAAACGAACTTAAAAAACGTGGTCTTGATACAAAAGGACGTAAAGCTGATTTAATTGATCGATTACGTCAAGCAATTAATAATGGAACGGAAGGTGATAATCATTATCAGGATTTTGCCTATCAAATGAATCATTTCATAATATTTATTTTTATTTTTTCTTTCATAGCTGGTGATGCAACAATAAATGATTCTACGCAGAGTGAGGATGATGATGAATCAGCTACAGCTATAATAGAAGATGTTAGTTTATCTATATAAAAAAAAAAAAACAACAAATTCTTACTTTATATATATATATATATATATTATTTAGACTAATAAAGATAATGATGATGAACAAGAACAAACATCAATTGAACGAAATTCACCAACAATTGAAGAACAAGATATAGATGAATCATCATCATCATCAAATAAAAAACGTCGTCTAACAGATGAAGAAATAGAAAAAGAAAATGAAGATAATTCAAATGAAAATCAAATGAATAAAATAGAAAATGATGATGATCTATCAAAACAAAAACGTAAAAAAAAAAGTCGTTGGGGTTTAGAACAAGATGAAGAATCATCAGAAAAACAATCAACTACAAAACAAACATCCGATAATGATGACGATGATGATGATGATGATGATGATGATGATGATGATGATGATGACAATGATAATAATAGTAGTAGTAGACATCGAGAACGAGATCATGATCGTGATTATCATCGATCATCAAGACAACGTGATGACGATCGACATTATAGTAGTCGACATTCAGAAAAGTATGTAAAAAACAAAAATTATCATTTCAATAGGATTCTGTTTTTTTCCTCCTCATATGTGAGTGTAAGTGCGTATGTGTGCTTGTGTATATGTAAAATGAGAAAAAAAATAACATATCTGTCTTATATGCATATATGCATATATATATATATATATTTCCAATGGTCTACAATTCAAAATCAAGATTAACAAGGAAATTGTAATTTATTCTTTATCATTTATATATACGTTTATTGCAGTATATCATATAAAAAAAAACAACAGCTCGTCCGAAACAATTATATTATTTAATTTACTTCGACAATTTGTCATGAAATCCGGAATTAAAATGGTAAGCGTTGTAATAGCGAGCGATTATTATATTAAATATGGATTTAAGATAGACGAATTTGCATATATGTATATACATATATATATATGTAAAAAAAATGTATATATATTTAGTTAACAAACAATGCATTGTGATTTCTTTTTTTTGCGGACATGTATATGTATAATGATATTGAAGAAAAGAAGATATTATGGTACAACAAATGAAGGAAAGACAAAATAATATAATGAATTGATATAAATATGGATATTTTAGGTGAAAATAATGTGTATATATATATAAAATGAAAATACAAAGATATTAAATTGATATCAAGTTGACAAAAAATAATGACGGATCAATGAACAGGTTTTTTTCTCTAAAATATAAATATGATAAAAATTCATGTGTTATATATTTGTGTTATTGAAACTTTCGATTTTGTTGTTTTTATTTTTATTTTTTTTTTCTATTGCATTTATTTTTTTTATTTATTTTTCTTTTATATATATAGATCAACGGAAAGAGAAATACCACTTCCTGAAGAAGAAACAGTACAATTTAATAATGATGATGTTGTTCTTGATTTTTGTAAGTAAAGATTTTTTCATTTTAAATATATATTATTGAATAGAATTGTTGCATTATTTAATTCTAATAATAAGTTTAGAAATTAGATGTTAACAATTATTTTTTTGCAGTACTTCATTTTGTTTTCAATCGGCAATTTATAATAATAGTATTTAAGGTTTCACCTATTCTAAAAAAAAATCGATCTTGGACTGGAAATATTAAAATCGCATGAAACTTCCAGGATACGTTAGGGTGGTAGCGAAGAGATTATACTAAAATTTTCAGCTCTCTATTATGATGTTTTCGGGAGATATTCGGTAAACAAGGGTTTTCTTATTGACAAGTCAAGGTCTGCATGTCTGTATTGTGTTACGGGTAAGGCACCCCAACCTGCTATAATCTTGAGGTGTAGGGAAGCCTTCATTGATGATTGTGATCATGGAATTAGCCGAAGATATTGGTCACTTTCCGACGATTCTTATCAACTATTATGCGAAGATTATCTAAAGATTACTTCATAAGTTAGACGAACTAAAACCGTTTGACATGGTATTTTTATTGATGATAGAGGCAGCGCTAAGCTGTTGATCGAGGGGTCTAACGTTATAAGATTTGTTTTCGATGTCATAATGTCCTCGTTTGAAGAAAAAGATCTATGTTGACCTTCTAGCTCCTTCATGTGAAGGTCAAACAAGTTTTGATTAGTCCTTGACTTTATTTGCAATCAACGTATGAAACTAACGAATTAAAGTTTAGATACTTTTTATGACTAGTGTATTCTATTTAATTTTTTCTTTATTTGAAAGAATGTATCTGACAAAGTTCTTGTCTTATAAATGCTTAATTTTTATCCGAAGAAAAAAAACACGAAAAAAGATTTGTGACTTGTTTTGAAAAATATATTTTTTTATTATATAGATACCTCTGATTTAAATCTTACTATTAATTCGGATTGTTTATCAGCATCGAATAAATCTAATGATGCATTATGTTTCTTATGGGCTGGTGTTCGCGCAACATATGGATTTAAACAGGGAAAAATTTGCTATGAAATACGAGTAAATATATATATATATATATATATATTTCTTTTTTTCTCTATTCGATTTTTATTTATTTATAATTATAGATAACTGAAATGATAAATTGTCCACAAATGCCTGATAGTGAAAAAGAAAAATTCGGTATTCGTGTGGGTTGGTCAAATTTATCTTCAGGTCATCAAGCACTTCAATTAGGTACAATATTCTATGTTAATTTTCTTTTTTGTGAATCATGATCTAAATGGAGTGTTGCAGTATAGAGATAAAAATTCGGAGTTTCTTATGCAGCAACCAGGTTTGAGTTTAGTGGAAAAGTCCAACACTGACAAGAAAACGTTCCCGAGTGATAAATCGCTTTTAAGCTGAAACTATATTCAATCGATAGGGTCTAGTAAGTAAGTAAATAATCTTGAGTGATTCGAGCTGCGGGGACTTTGTTACTGAGACAGTGAATTTTTAGTGGGTTTTTGTTGTAGGGACCTAGTTTTTACGCAAAATTATGCTTTTGAATTTCGACCACATAAAGGCACTGATTAGATTGTAGAAAAAAATCTCAAAATTTTTACACTAAGTCTCTCCGAGATATGAAGTTTTTTTAAATATAGGTGATTTACCATGATTATAGTGAAAATTATGGATATTTTGAAAGATTCATATCTCGAAGATAGTTGGTCAAAAAATTCTAAAGCTTTTTCCATAAAGGAATCCAATTGATTTCTCTATGCTAGTTAAGTTTCAGATCAAAGTTAAACAGTATGATTTCTCAGCAACGAAAGTCCAGCAGCTCGCACTACTCTAGAGTATTTACTTACTGACGACTAGGCTCTATCGATTGAATATAGTCCCAGCTCGAAAGCAATTTATCACTTGGTAGTCTTTTCTCACAAGTGTTTTTCTTTATAGTGAAATATCTTTGAAAATAATGTATAATTCAATGAACACAAAACCCAGTAGAGCATTTAGTGTCAGCATGTTAACATAATAGCCGGTAGTTCATAAAAAAAGATGTTTAATTTTTTTGAACTTGCAATCCTGGCCGCGACAAACATTGATACACAATCCATAAATGTACATCGGGACTCGAAATCTGCCGCTGTCATAATAGTTTTCGAGAAGCTCATCAAAAATCTCTTCCATCACTGTGCTAAATTAACATAGCTAGATTGAGTCCATCAGATTCATTTTGTTGGACTTGTAGACACTTCAGTCAGGGGACTAGCTAATGCAATTTAAAAAAGAAGTCGTCGCGGTTGCGCCGTCATATACATCACTGATATAATCATGGACTCTATATAAACTACTTCCTTATTGGATTCTAATAGCTTCTTTTATTTTTGAATGTAATAAATATTCTAGGTGAATTTAATGATTCATTTGCTTATACATCAACTGGTAAAAAAATGAGTAAAACAAATGATGAATTTATTGAAGAGACCTATGGTGAATCATTTGGACAATCTGATATTATTGGTTGTTATATTGATTTTGGAGATAATACAGAAGATAATTTAATTCGTATATCATTTACAAAAAATGGTGAAGATTATGGTCAAGCATTTGAATTTTCAAAAACAAATTTCAATGAATTTTATCCACATATATTAGTTAAAAATGTTAAATTTGAATGTAATTTTGGTCAATTAGTAAGCATTAAAAAAAAAGAAAATTTCTTTTGTTTCAATAAGGAATAAGTTCTGTTTTTTTTCAAGGAACATTCATGGTCGGAAATGAAATCTGATTATATATTTGCACAACAAATTCCTTTATCTGATCGTATACATTGTTCGGAACCAATTTTAGAAAAATCAAATTGTCAAGTTATTCTTCTTTCGGGTTTAAATGGATCGGGTAAAACAACATGGGCAAAAAAACATATAGAAGAGAATCCAAAAAAAGATTTTAATTTATTAAATATTGAATATGTTCTTAGTAAAATGACGGTATGTTTAAAAAAAATAAAAATAAAAATAAAAAGACTTTTTTTTTGCTTTGAAGACGGATGGAAAATTACCAATTATAAAAGATCGTAATGATGGTGTAATGTTACGTGTGAATATATGTTTACAAAAATTAATTGAAATAGCTGCACAACGTCGACGAAGTTACATAATTGATCATGTAAAAAAAATGAAAAACAAAGACTCTTTTGTCTAATATATTTATATTTAGGTAAATACAACACGAGAAAGTCAATCAAAACGTCAACGTTTATTTACTGGTTATCATCGAATTGGTGTTATTATTATACCTGATGATGATGAATTAAAACGACGTATTGAAAAATTAGAAAAATTTGAAAGTATTTCAATACCATCACAATGGATTAGAGAAACTAAAGCAAAATTTTATTTACCACAAAAAAGTTCATCATTAGAAGATGTTATTTATACTGAATTATCTTATGATGATGCAAAATTATTATATGATAAAATACGTCGAGATTATGATCAACATCGTTCATCATCATCATCACGTTATGATCGACATGATGATTATCATTCATCACGTAATAATAATCGAAGTCGTTATGATGATCGTGATCGTCGTGATCGTGATCGTGATCGTTATGTTCGTTCACGTTCACGTTCACGTGATCGAGATCGTCGAACATCATCACGTGATGATTCAAGATTTTCATCATCACATAGAAACGATAATTATCGTGGCGGTGGCGGCGGTGGCGGCGGTGGTGGTGGTAGTGGTGGTTATTCACGCGGTGGTAATAATCGTTATTCTGACCATCGACAAGATTCAAGAAATAATCAACGTAGTGGTTTTCATGAAGGTGGTGGCGGTGGTAATAATAATTATCGTGGAAGAGGAAATAACTATAATAATCAATCAAATGATGAATGGCGTGGTGGATATCATCATCAACGAAATGATTTTAATAGTGGTGGACGTAATCGTGGTGGTTTTGATAATAATAGAAATCAATATAATAATAATAATCGTGGTTCATATCATGATAATCAACGTACTGGTGGATTTCGACAAGATTTTAATAATCAACAAAGAGGTAGACAATTTAATGATTATGATAATCAACAACAACCACAACAACAAAGTGGTGGAAGAGGATTTATGCAGAATAATAACAATTTTAATCAACAACATGATAGACAAAATTTTGTTTCTAGAGTAAGTCAGTGATTTTTAAACATACAAAACTAAAAGAAGAAATCTAGCAGTATCAATGAACTCCAGACATCTTGTATGATCTTTAATATCCTTTCTCTTGAAGATTCATTACTCACTAATATTTCGTCTATTCTTCACATTTTATGCATCCAACAACTCTATTATTTACGAAAAACAACAAGGATTAATTTTACTATCAAAATTTTAGTGATTATTACTGAATAATTTTCCCAAATACATGACTTGTGAGAATGTGACATTTGACGCAAATAAAAGATATCACTTCTAATGAAGAAGTGTTGAGCTCGGGACCATCTTGCCAAGATCTAAGCGTAATAGTGTTATGTGTACAATGATTATAAAGATCGCATTTATGTTTATTAATCATCATGATGAGTCTAAATCAGGTCTCGACTTTTTGGTGGTTCATACTGTCTTAAGAAGTTTTCTGATTCTTGATCAATTAAAACCTTACATGGGAAATCTTCCTTGAAAAAAATACAGGCTGAGCGGCCGATTTCGAGCCTTAGTCTGAACTAAAGAAATACTTCGATTTCAATTTTTTGCTCTTATTGATATTTTTGTTTCAACATTTATAGCAATAAATTTCTTTATTTTAGCCACCTATACAACAACAACAACAACAACAACAACATTCATTTCATAATCCACAACAACAGCAACGATTACAACCACTTCTTCAAAATCTACCATCGAATCAACAACAATTTCCGTCTCATCTGCAACAACAAACAGCAAATAATCCTAATCTATCATTACCAACACAAAGTTCATTAAATGTTAATCCATTATCTAACTCTGCTAATGTTACTCAACAAAATCCACTTGATCCATGGCTTGCATTATGTGCAGCCGCTCTTAATTCACAACCTGCAGCAGCAGCAGCACCTCAACAACCACAACAAGATACAAATTCCTTAACTCAACAATGGGCACAATGGTTAAAAACAGCACAAATGGTTAATTAAAAAGAAATTTTGATCTCTAATTTTTTTTCTTAATCAATTAATTTTTTATTTAGGCACAAACAGCACAACAAGCTCAACCTCAATTAACAGTTCAGCAAACTGATTCGCATCAACAACAGACACAAATTCCAGATGCAAGTGCTTTGTACTATCAAGCATATTATGCTCAATTAGCTGCTGCTCAACAACAAGCAGCAGCAGCTGCTGCTGCCGCTGCCGCTGCAGCTGGATCAACAAATGGAGGTGTTGCACCACCACACAGTAGTGATAAATAGTTTTTCTTAAAAAAAAAATCATTTTTTGGATGTATATATACCTTTGTTCTAATGAAAAAAACACAAACCAACAAACAACTATGAAATAAATAAGAACAAGTGGTCGCAGAGTTTGTTTTTCCTTCTTCTTTATTCATTTTCATATCTCAATTTCGAATTGAGAACATATATATTGTTGTTGGATTCTTTTTTGTACCGTGTGTAATTCTACTCTTTGTTTAACTATTACTCTCATTACTTTTGTGTTTGTCTTTGTTTGAAAAAAAAAATATCGTTGTTTTGTATTTCAATGGATTTATTGTCTACTTATTATTGTCTCGAAAGAAACCAACTAAAGTGATTAAAATGCAAAAACAAAACAATTTATTCTTTTTTTTGTAATGTAGATGTCTATTATTGATACTATTGACGCATTTGATAAACTTGAATTTCATGATCAACGTTCATTTGCAATTGCATCAGCTTTAATTGCTAAATCTATTCAACAATATAAAGATAATCCATCAGGAAAATTTGATAGTCTTAAATTATTATTTGAAATTGAGTAAGTTTGTGCTATATGTTAAATATTCATTTTTATAGAAATAATTCATTTTTCAGTTCACCTGAAATTATACTTGAACAAAAAGCAATTGAACGTGAATGGCTTGATAATGATAAGAAAATCATGTAAGATTTTTTTTTTATGTTATAGAAAATATCGACATTTTGATGATAAATAATCACTCAATAAGAATAGAAATAAACAAAGCAATAGAAGAATATATCAGGAGATCAGAAACAACAATCATGATGTTAGTGGACCAGAGCGGAAACGAAAGAGAACAACTGAGAAAGGATCTTTATGACTGAATGAATGAAACAAAAAAATGGGGCAACTTATGACTTCTGAGGGTTTGAATGTCTCACATTGTTGTATAAACAAAATGTATTATTCTCTAGTGAAAAAAAAATGGTATAACGTAGGTAGCACCATCCGCAAATGATTGAAGAAAAATGTTATAATAGAAGCAGTTTTGGAAATTATATTCTCGTTTCAGTTGTTCATTAAATTTATTTCTATTCAAATAAGATAATAACAAGTTCTTATACGAAATAGTAAATTCAGAAATAAAGAGATAATCATTATAAAAATTTTTCATATAAGAAAGGCTTGACAATCAAGAGATAAAAGAAAATGTACAACGAAAATATAGAGAATAGGTGATACGTATAATAACCAGCAAGGACGTTTACATTCGACAATCAATTTTCGCAATAGTGCGAACTCAATATTTACTATACCAGTTCTTCTGTCAATCAATGTAAGTCAAACAACACTAAATTGATGCTCGATTCAAGCATTTGTTGCTAGAATTAAATTTATTTGTCGAAGTACTCTCGAGTAATAAGGCGATGCATTAGCATTTTATTCCAAAAACGTAAGACCTAGGCCTAGTCTGTTAACCAGGCTGAATATTATTTGGATTGATTAGGTCAGGCTAACCAAAAATCAACTGATACGATCTTTAATTTGATTCGAAAATGCATTTTGTGACTATGATCGCCTTCACTCATCAAAATTCTAGATCCCCCTATTACTTGACAGGCATCTACTAGATCAACAGTTTTGTGAAGAATACGAATTTCAAAACTCTATTCAGATAAAAGTATCAAAAGTAAACTTGAGCTCAATAGAAATCAAAATGTTCGATTTTTTTCATCTATTTTTAGTCCATTTACTACAATATTGGACTCGTGTCTTAGTCAATCATTATCGAATCGTTCAAATATCTCTCAACAACCTCTTTATATTCCATTTCGTCCTGATAAACCAATAGATTATGAACCTATCCAATGGCAAACAGATGATTCTTCAATTCCAACACGTTTTATTGTTCGACCACCTTCTTCAAGTCGAATTTTACAACCTCGTAATGAACCAACCAATGATAATAATACAAATACTGTTGTACTCGATGATAATGATGATCAACATTATGTTGATGCTGTTGGTGATGAAGAAAATGAACTACCAAAGATAACAATTAAGAAAAAAGGAAAAAAGAAAAAACAACAACAACAAAAAGTAAATATCATTACAACTAATAATGATATTTCAGTACAATTAAATACTTCATCAAATAGAACTTCTTCAGCAGGACATAAATTTCCAGTAAGTATTTTCTTTATTTTATAAAATTTCGATTTATACATATTAAATGAAAATGTTTTTTAAGCAAAAATTATCATCAAAATGGTCATCAGGTAAACGAATATCGTGTGTTGGTAAAACAAGTGCTATTCGTAAAGTAAATAAAATAAAATACAATAAGATAAAAAAAAAAAGAATTCAATATATTAATTAGTTTGCACGTTCATCACATGATCGTCAAAATCGTGCTGATTCACGTACATTATTTCATAATAAACCATCAGTAACAATCAATGCAGCTCGTTTTAGTCAAGAACAATATGAACAATTAGCACGTGCTGCTGAAGCTGAAGAACGTAAACAAGAAGCACGAAAACGTAAAGTTGAAAAATGTAAGTAAACAAAAGAATATCTATTAGATAAGATGATCAGCCTCTCCGTTTGAAGAATGATCATCTTATCCGATAGAATCATTTTCATTTTTTGATTCATTGTTTTTTTTTCCAGTGCATGAACAAGCTAAAAAACGAGAAGAAGTTCTTAATCGTGCTAAACAAATACAACAAGATAAAGATCAAAAAAATCAATTACGTATATCTGATAATCAATCAAAAAATACTACTATGAATCAAAATAAAAAAATACAAAATAATACTTTTAATAATTCAATGAATGACTCAACAACAACAACAACAACATATGTTAAACCTACAACACAACCATATAAACCTGTTCTATTAGATACAACAAGTAATAAAATTTTAAATCAAAATAAAATTATTAAAAATCCAGCAAATGGATTTAAAAAACCAACAACAACAACAACAACGAATGCTGAATATACATTTGTTGTGGATAAAAATAATCCATTACGAAATGATATAACATTACCATCAAGTTCAATGATTCAACAAAATTCGCAATTTAAAGCTGATTGGACAATATCAGGGATTGTTCATGATGAACTTGAACTTGATAATACAATAACGTTAGTTTATAATTTTTTGTTTCTTTCAAATTTCAACAAAAAGAAAATCCTTGTTTTCTAGTGATACAACTCATCATTCAGATGATGGTGATTATGGAATAGAAGATATACGTTCAGATCAAGATTCAGATAATGATGATGAAGATGAAGCACGTATACCTAATTGGGCTAAAGGTTGCGTTTTTTTTTTGAAAAACGAAAGAACTTTGATTAAATGTTGTCTTTTAGAACGTTTATTTCAAACATTTTGGAAAACTCAAGGTCATTGGTATTTATCACGTCGAACACTTAAATTAACTCGTCGTACATTTGGACATTATCCAACAATAAAAGATCAAGTACAAATATGGCTTAGAGATCTTAAATCAAGTAAACCATTATCGGAAACATTTACCGATGCAACATATCTTGATCAAACACAAGCATATTTTTGATAGATTTTCAGATTATTATTTTTTTTAAATTTTTTCCTCTTTGATTAGTCAGATATAATAGTTATGAAATGACAAAAAAAACCTATTTATGTAATATATTGTGAGCAGATATTAAGATTCAAATAATTATGTATTTATCTACTATTTGTTATTCTTTACTAATAAAAACAAAAATAAAGAATTTATAATATTTGTCTATGAAATTTAAGTTTTATTTGGATTACACTTTTGCCTAAGAAAATAGAATTCAATTTTTATCATCTGTAACAAAAAAAACATATCAATTAATGACAAAAAAAAAACAACTCTAGTTGTCATATGATCACTCGTTTTTCTAAATCATTGAAAACTGAATTATTAACAATAAATTTACAATTTCTCTATGATTATCAATCGATGTATGAATTAATGATCGCTTTGGATAAAGAAATCTTCTCTTCTCATTATTTGCTTTTGTCTGGATTTTTCTACAGAAACTTTCATTATACAAATAATGAACAACATGAACAAGTTAGGAATGTATAGTAAACACTGACCACACTAAGAATAATTTCATGTACTTTTTTAAGTCATTTTATAACTGAATCAATTAATAAGAACTGTTAGCGCAACCCATGCGAGATTAAAATGTGAAATACAATATAGCTATTATTGCTAATCACAGGAAATTGCTTGATTCTATCTATTTTGGAACAAATATCTTCGACATCCTTTGACTTAATCTTTCAGAAATATAATAAGGAAGTAGTAACGAGGCGTTATTAATATACAGTCTATGATCGTATACCATGGTCTATGGAGAGGAGAATAGAACAAATTTTTACTCCTATATTTCAACATTCTGTTAAGATCGTGTTTCACAAAATACAATATACCACAACGTGCAATCTGAAAAGCGATATATTTTACAAAAGATAGTTTATTGTATAGCTGTATTTTTCACTTTCAAAATGGACAAAATTTTGTGCGGCCAATTTTCAACACTACAGACATGAACATTTGTTTTTTTGGTAAATAATCAATTCATTATTTTATTTCATCTATTGCAGAGAATTCTATTCATTGATAGGTGTATTTCAAAATTGTTTTACATCTCCAATTATTTTTAAACCTACTGAAACATTAACATGTGAAAATTAAATATTGAAATTATCCTTCCATATGCGTAATCTGAAAGTAAACAATTCCTAAGTGATGATTTCATCTATCACCAAGACAACGCTACGTCTCATACATAGCAGCAATCATTGGTATAGCATTTTATAAACAATCACAGATGATCATCGAACAGTCTTAATCTTAATGTTTTGGATGATTACGTATGGAACGCTATCATCAGTAATATACAAAGGGATAAAGTTAACAACTATGATTCATCAATTAGATGAAATAAGGGGATTTGTCACGTATCAATAAATGACCGTGTTCACAGCATCGAAAATTGATCGTACAAAATTTTGTACATCTAAAAAACAAAACATACAACTATAAAATAAATTGTTTATTGTAAAATGTAGAGCTTTTCACGTTGTATCTTGTAGTATGTTTTGTTTGTGTAGAAAATGTTTTAAGTGATGGGTGTATCTATTTAATTCTGACATAAAACAGTCGAGCTCAAATAGAATTTTTTCATATTATCAGCAGGTTCTTTTTGTCTCCACTAGAATTGTTAAAGATAGAAGTTAGAGAACAACATGCATGCTCTTTATTCATTATTTGCGTGTCATAACAAACTAATTCTATATGAGACTGTCATGCACTAAACATTTTTCATCCTATTTGTTTCGCTTCGCAGAATGCATCTGTTACAATATTATCAAATACAAACCAAACATAATACTAAATTCAAACATTTTGATATTCAGCTACTATAAAAGATACAAACTCTGGCGCCAGACTAGAATTTTACTTCAGTTTTGCTGGATAAACAGAGTTCTCAGCAGAAATCTGTTGTTGATAGGAGAACGCACTAATGATAGCTATTCCAAGACAAGTAATTCGATACTTCGAACTAGTCGGAAAACTTATCGGATCTGACAAAATTTGGACGAGTTCTGTCTGAAGTTGGTGGAATCTTCGAACAGAATTCTGCTAGATCCGATAGAATTTTACGAGGCGGTATTGACCTTAGACTATAACGAAAGGCGGCTACAGTATAAAATTCTCCAATTCTATTTTGATGAGTTTTGTAACAAAACTAGGGATCATTTATAAGGCAGATCGATTTAAAATTTTATTATGTTTACATTTCTAACTATGTTTGTATCTTTCTTGAATGCTTCTACACAAAAGAGCCTTTAGGCATAATATGTCAAGACAACCAAAGAAGATGAATTTTTAATAGCAAGACTCTTGATTGAACGACAACATTCATGTATTTAGATTAAAGCTATTAATAGAAATGACACACTTCTGCGAAGTTGGCATTATTATTCGACATTATAGATTGCCTAAACTTGCGTTATTTTTCGAATGGGTAGATGTACTCATCTTACTATCTTTCATTGATAAAACTACAATAGGTGTATACCTTGATAAAGTCAATGCACCACTGCGTCACTGAAACTACACATTCATATACTCAAAATGATTGGTGTATCTTCACGCAAATTATGAAGGAAAAAAAATGAACTCATGACAATCATTCATGTATAAATATTTATTTTTGTATGAGATGATTTTTTTTTCTTTAATCTTTGCAAACATTAAGTAAGATTTATTACAAATTGAATTTTCATTTATTTTCTAGAAATATTGGTCACAAACACAAGAGTAGATGATAAATTGGATGAAATATCAATATATGTAAAATTTATAGAACGTCTTATTCTTTAGGCTATCTTGATGTTATTTTTATACATGTCTGACGATGCCTATTGGCTGTCCTTTTGCGCTTATTGATTATAGGTCATTCAATAGAATTTTGATGTACGTGTTCATTTACGTTTCATTTCCTTCTGACCGTTCCATCGTGTGTTCAACATTAGCCATCTTTGCTTCTCTTAGTCCTCCCTCCACTTTTTCTGACTCTTTGTCTATTTCTTTCTCGGCTCATCATGACTAGAATATGATCGACGAACACATTGATTAGTTCTACATTCATTTTGCTGTCTACTTGCGCCACATATATATCTAGAGACTCATTCTTTTACAACGATTCACACTTGTATTCAATTAAATAAATAAATATTCTAAATGGCAGATTCAGTAAAACAAGATGCTGAAGTAGCTAAAAATCAAGTAACAGGTATGTGATCTCATTTTTCAAATCATAATTGATAATAATACAAACAATATATACACATATAGGAACTACATCAGCGACTAGTCAAGAAGCTAGTCGTGGTATGTTTTATACTTTAATAGAAATCATAATAAATTATTTATTTTTATACTAAGGTACTGATGCTACAAAAGATAATGTTGATGAAAAGAAATCTGAAACATCGAAAGAACCACATCGAAATAGTGTTGAACAAGACGTTAAAAGTTTTGTTGATGCCGTTAAAGAAAAAGCTACCGAAGCGTAAGTATCTGTTCTTATTATTTCAATTCATAGAATTTATATATTTAGATACAACTACGTTGCTGGTGGAGAAGGCGAAGGAAAAGGTCTTGTTGGAACTGTAAAAGAAAAGGCTGCCGAAGCGTATGTTTATTTCTTATATTACTTTTTTTCTTTTTATTGAATGAATTTATTATCTTTAGTTACAATTATGTTGCTGAAAAAGTTACTGAAGCAACACATGCTGTAGCTGGTGATGCTCAAAAAGATGTAGCTAAGGATTCCAATCAATCAAGTGGTACACCTACAAATGTAACTGCTGATGCTACTTCAAACAAGGTTGATGAAAAAGCAAATGCAGATCATAAATAAAATTTAAATAAAAACAAACGTGCTCAATAATAATAATAATAAAAAACCAACCTAATTGACATAAATATGTAAAACAAGAAACGATATTGTAGTTCATTTGTTTTATCTTCGTATTAATTATTCTCATTATATAATTATTTAATTTTAACAACTAACATTCAACTAATTTTTATGCATGTGTATCTGTTGTGTGTTTATTAATATATGTTGTGGCTGTGTATAGATGCACAGTTTTAACATCTTTTAGTCGTTAGTATTATCATTTAATGTTTTATTCGTATGGTTTTTAATGTTGTTGCAATAAGAAAAAAAAACATGAACAAATATACAACAGACACAGCAAACATATATGTATATCTAAATGATTGATTCTTTGAATGATATTATCAATAATGATGATGATGATGATGATTGAAAAGAGATATATTTGAAGACTAAGATAAATTAACTGATCAAATGAATTCTAATTTCATTGAGAAGATAACTGTTTATCAACACTAGCAAATGGCATTCCTATATATACGTCGACTAGTGTTTATATCTTTTCTATTTTTCGATCGATAAATTGTTTATCAAAAGAACGATACTTCTACAAATAGAAAAATCGTTGTGCATTGTTTGATAAAATCTCTATATGCTTCTAATTATCATAGGAATATTGTTTACTCAATGTCTACGATGAATCAAATGTGTGTGTGTGTGCTTAACCGAACCATTCAATATAATGAAACAGCTGTCAATGTCTATTAAAGAAAAAAAATGTTCTTTTATTCTTGACTATTAAGGAAATATGCATGCAGATGTTACCCTCTCTCTCTTTTTTTCCATATCTTCAAAAAGAAATTAGTAACATATTTTATGTATGAAACAAATTGTTATATTAATAAACTTTCAATATCAAATTTTTTTGAGAAAATAATGATTTATATGTTAAGTTTTATTTGATTAAAGTGCGAAAGTTTTTTTTATTAATGAAACATCAATTTTTTATTTTTAACAATGTCACTCAAATTATAATCATGCAACTTCTAGCACGACATTATGAAGAAAAACAATAATACATTACAAAGATTTCTATTTCTTACTAATGCAAAAATCGGATTATTTGTTTTTATTTATTTCATAGAGATCTTTAGAAAAGGAAAAAATCTAATTTGTTTTCTTTGCAATGCCATTGTCTAAACAACAAAGCTCAAATCTTTTTGTAGAGAATAAAATTTTTCAATAAACTTTTGCAAAAACATCAGAGGTCTTCTCAACATCTAGCAGCATCTATCGATAAAAATAATGAGATTAAAAAATCTTCTTTGATTGCATGCTATGATTTACCATTTGAACTCTCATATCCATATTTAAAATTTATTTTTCTATCTAGTATAACTTATTTTCAGATCAGACAAAAATGTATACACGTTGTAATGTTTTAAAAAACATTGTTCAAAATTTTATTACATCCAATTCATATAGTCGTTTCATTCGTTTTCAATCATCTACAACGACTATTACAGCAGATACTTTGCAAAATTCGAAGTAGAAAGAAAAAGTTTTCATTAAAAAAAAAATCTTCTTTTCTTTTTTTAAATTTCTAGTTCAAATACGAAAAATCGTCATTATACAGAAGATGTCTTTCTTGATTTAACAACAGAGTATAATCGTAGAAGATTTGTTCGAAGTGGACTTATTTCAAATGCTATCAAAAATGTTAATAATAATATATCGGAAAGACTTAGTTTATTAATATTAACAGCAGCTGCTCGTTGTATTCATCATGTTACACCAGATAAACGTGTTCAATTATTAGAAGAAGTAAAATGCAAAAAATGTTTCTTCTTTTTTTTTTTTAAATTAACGTTTTTTTTTTCTAAAGGCATGGAAGACATTAAATGATAAAAAAGTTCGATTAACAACACGTCATTATGAAACATATTTAAGTGGACTTAATGAAAATGGTTTTATATTTGATGCTGATTATTATTTAAAATTAATTGATAATGAACAGATACAAGCAACACCACGTCTTTATAGTTTACTATTAACTCAGTATGTGTCGGGTTTTTTTTTCTTATTATTTGAAAGATAATCTAAAGAATGTGGTTGTTTTTTTTTTGATAAATAGATATTGTCGTGAAGGTAACACAGATCGTGCACAAAATTTTTTAAAAATGCTTAAAGAACGTAATGTAAGCATTGATGAAGATATATTTGCTGCATTAATTGTTTGTCAACTTAAACTTGGTAATGATAAAGGTGCTAATGATATAACACAAATAATGAAAGAACGTGGTTTACAACCAACAATATCAACATATAAAGAAATTTTAACAGCACTTATTAGTGAACATAAATTAGAACAATTTGAATATTATTTTGGACAAATTGAATCTCAACAACGTCAAACATCATCATCATCATCATCAACTGTTTATATTGATGCACATTTTGTTGTTATTTTACTTGGACAATGTATTTCATATAAAGAACGTCCAATATTTGATTTATTATTAAATACATTAAAAGAACTTGATCATGGCCGTATGCCAAATAATTTATTTAATTTAGCTATACAATGTGTTACAAATGAATGGCATGAATCAGCTATTGAATTATTACAAATGCAATCGGAAGCTGATATTATTGATGAAGAAACATCACCTTATCAAGGAATTAATGGACGTCATTGGATACTCTTTTTTAGGTAACGTTTTTTCTTTTTTTCCATTTGAAATTCAATGCAAATTAAGCATTGAGATTGACATTTGAATATCTTATTTTTAAAGATAAAACTAATTAATCGAAGACTAGCAGATCTGATGAGTAGAATATTTCCATTATTACCTTGTTTATTCACAACAAAAGATTTATTTAGTAAATTTAAACCAAAAATTACACTTTATAATTTTCACATTAGGTCAGAAATTAAAAACATTATATATTTAGAATCGTATTTTATTAAATAATACAAAAACAGTATTATTTTCATTTAAGTAAAATTTATTTTTTTTAGTTTGTAATTTTAATTTATCTAATTCTCAATATTCTTTTCTAATCTGTCGAATTCATCTCAGATCAATAATTTCAGCATCCGGATTCATGAATTTCCGACAGGTTTCCGTCGAAAAGACGTCGTTTCCGGCTGAAAAACTAAGTTAAATAGTAGGGACTTGAAAGTAAGAATCCGGTCACCGGATTTCTTTATTTCCGAGTAGAGTCAATCATTAGATTCCTGCTGTTCATCCTCATTTGTCTGTCGGAAACGACCCATATTTCTAGACCAGGGCGGTACAATGTTCATACTAATCCTATAATAGAAATCGTAACAGAAAAAATTTTAAAATATGTTGTTTTTTTAATTTAGACAATTACTTGATAATAATGAACCTCATCTAATAGATATATATCTTAAATTAATGATGGAAAAAAATTTAGTACCACTTGATGGTATTCTTCGTGTTTTATATACAACACCAAATGAAAATTATCATTTAGCACTTAATTATCTTGAACGTGGACAAGAATTAAATCATCCAATGCGTACAAATTATTTTTATCCAATTTTATTAAATATTTATTCATTAAAAACATGTGAAAATTGGACAGATAATGATCGTTTACGTTTATTTCGTTTACTTGATCGTTTATCAATACCAATTGAATCATCAACATATTCAAAACTTATACAACAAGTATTTCATCAATATTATCAAAATAATTTTAATTCATTATTAAATATGTTATCAAAAAATAATTTACAATCAATACTTGATCGTATATGTCGTTTATTATTAAATGATATACGACGAAATATGCTTCATTTAAATGTAATTGAACAAATAGCACCATTTTTCCGTTTAAATACACGTTCAAGACAAGAAGAATTTTCAAGATATTTATTTTCTACTATGACTGGTATATCACCAAAGTAAAAATACTTAAATTTCTTTTTTTTTTTGTATCTTGAAAAATTTATCTTTATTTAATTATAGATCAGATGAATATATTGATGATGAAATTGATAAAAATTCACAAACAAAATCTATGAATGATTATACAACAATATTTCAATTAATTAATTCAATATCAAAAAATTTATCAAATGATATTCCAATGCTTAAACATGAAATATATATACATTTACTTCGTTTTTCAGCTCAACAGCGTCGAACTGATTTAACATTACGATTAGCTGAACAATGTATAAAAGATAATATTAAAATTGGTGGTTCAATGAATGAAATTGATATATTAACTAGTTATACATTACTACGTGATATTGTTGAACAATTAGCACGTTATAAACCAGGTGAACTGTCATGGAAAGAAAAACTTTCAACTATAAATTTACAAAAAGTAAATCGTCAACAATTAGAAGAACTTTATCAAGAAGCAAAACAAGATGGAAAATATCCATTGAATTTACAACAACGTTTATTAGATAATTATATACAAAAAAAATCTTTACAAAAAGCATTTACTCTTTTACATGAAATGGTTTCAAATAGACATCAGGTTTGATAAAATTATTATTCAATTGACAAATTTTATCAAAAGAAACTAAACTATGAATTTTTCTATCTAGTAGAAATGATAGATTGTCTAAAGCACCGCTAACCATCGATAAGAATAAGACATCATTAGTTGATAAATCAATTGGATGAAATTTTTTTTTTGGAAATGTTTCCCTTACGATTTCAATGATTTTTTTTGCCTATAGATCCTACATAGTGTTTTAATAAAATCTTGAAAAAGAATTTATTGGTATTTGACTAAGCTATAACCTCAGGTCTTCGGAAAAACTCAGAAATTTTCAATAGAATCTCTGTGAGATATGTTCAAAACTTTTGAATTTCTTTTTATGGGATCTAGTCTAGTTGAGTTCTCTATATGGGTAAAGTTTCAGATCAAAATTCGAAAAGACGAGTTTTCCGAAAATTTGGGATGTCTAGAAAAAAAAATTCGATAGCTTAGTTGAATCGAAATCCTTTTAGGATTTTTATTAGAACACTATGTAGTGCCTATAGACAAAAAAATCAAACGAAACAATCTAAATGAAAGTTTTTCAAACCTAATAACCTCAAGCTCAGGAGGTTGAGACGATACCCCAGAATCTTAAAAAATTTTCTCCAACGTTTTATTATTTTATTGCTCATCAATTCCCAATACAACACTCAAATCCTCTCCATGTATCCAGGCAACTTTAGCATAAACTTTCCTATCGACTTCCTCCACAATCCTGAAGACCTCCATCGTGTTTAGGATACTCTTCCTCAGGTGTAAATACATATTTTTAAATATTTGAATCACTCATGAGCGAATATATTTTCTATCATGTTATATTCTTATTTAGATTCATTCATCTGTTTTACATCGTTTATTTAATCTTATAACTGTAAGACTTGATGATAAAAGTGATGCATCGAAAGCTGAATATCGTGAAGATTTAAAATTTTTATGTGATCTATATGAAAAATCATTTGGTCTTATAAATTTACCATCAGAATTAACATTTCGTTTAGCTCATATGTATCTTCTAAATGGTGATCAAGATAATGCAATAACAATTCTATCAAATAAATTAAATTCTAAATTAAATAATGAAATTTATTATTATTTAATAAAATTTCTTCAATTAGATTCATCATTATTAACAACTGATGGTTTAACAACAATAGGAAATTTATTTCTTAATTTTCGTATTAATGAACCAATAAGAAAATTTTGGAATTTATTTTTTGATATTCTATTAGAAAAAACAAGTCCACAAGATGTTGTACAATATTTTTCTGATGCTATGAGAGAAAATAGCAATATACCTTATCTTCATTTATTTAAAGTAGATAATTATAATTTAAAAAAAAAAGAAATTATTTATTCATAATAGACTTTTCTTTTTCATTTTTTTAGTTGTTTATTGAAAAAAATGAATTAAATCGTTTACAAGATATTGTTGATATAGCAACATTGCAACATGGTTCACGTAATGTTTTACACGATCTTGCATTTACATTAATCGAAAGTGGAAAAATCAAACAAGCGGAAAAAATCTTTCAAACACCATGGCTTAAAGCAAGAAATAGTCGAATTAATTTACATGCTTTACTTTTTGCTGGTATTCAAAACAAAAAAAATTTTTTTTTTCTTTTGTCTAATTGAATTATTTTTGTTTTCTTTATTATAGATTCAAATAATCTCGACGCATTAATTGAAGCTATAAAATTAACACGAAATTTACCTGGTGTTAATCAAAGTCAATTATTTACATCAGCTATACGGTAAAACAAAAATAAATAAAATAAAATAAATGAAGAAATCTTTGTTTTTTTCTATAGTGTGGCTTTACGTCTTGATCAATCTGATATGATCGATTGGTTAATCAAAGAAATACAAGAAAATCGAATTCAACTTGATATTCGAATAAAAAAGTATATATGAAATATTTAATAGAATTAAGTTAAAAAAAAAATTGAATATTAAAATATTAATGAGAATCATGCTGGAACTAAAATATAACATTTAATGCGTTTTTTTTTGTATATATGAAAAGATTATATCAATAGTTATCAGAAAAGTTCATTTGTTAAAATATATTTCATAGATTTGAACTATTAATAAAAATGAATCGATTAAATTTCATTCATATAACAGATTGCACATTTAATTTTAAAAATTAGTACTTTTGTGTGAAATAATAAAATTAAATCTTATTCTTTTGTTTATGAGAAAAGTACTTTACAAGTTTTCGTCTTATATTATCGCATAACATCTTTTATGAACTGATATCAAATTAAATATTACAAATATGATAATATAAATTTGAGCGAATTAACCTTTTCAGAACGGATCGTACTTTGTCTTTTCTTTTTGAATAATGATATATATTATACATCGAGGATTAGAAATAATTACGTATGCGCTAGAGTATCCTCATTGTAATGATATACATTTAATGTATCTTGTTTGATCATGCTTCATTTTTGAGTTCACTGATTTTCAACTGTAAGTAATTCGACAACTGTTTGACAAATATGGTAGTCAATGGGATCCAAGAAGAGGTCAATCCTTTACTGAAAAACTACTGAGACACAGTTGGATAAATATGAATTTTCTCGAGTATGAGCAGTGGCGTACCGAGGAGGGGGGCCGAGGGGTCCGGGCCCCCCCCCCCTTGGAGAAAAATTCCCTGTGGGGGAGTACGGGTGAAAAAAATTGTATCGTAGCTTTTATTACAAGTCCACTGCGGGCCCCCCTTGAAAAATTTCTGCGTACGCCACTGAGTATGAGTACAACAAAAATCATACTTCTCCAGTTCTGCTCTGAGGCTGACAGCTTGTCAATTTTCATCACTAATTAGCAGAGGAAGACGATCGTGAATTGTCTGTAGCACGGATGTCAAACGATCAAACGAAAACAATCTCATACCAGATACGAATGTTTAGATTGCCGTGTAGACTTATGCATTGCAAGTATATTAATATACTTGAATAAAAAAAACCATCAGTTAATTCTTGAATTTTTTTTTCAAAAAATAATTCCTTCCTAAAATAGTTAAAAACCAAAACCATTAATATAAGAATACTAGTGCGATATAGACGAAAAAGAAATTTTTCGAGCATATTTGTATGATTTGTAATGTTTTCTAATCGTTTCTTTCATCTTAGATTGTGACAGACATTTTATATAGCAGTAAAGATCTAATGTCTTCAATATAAACTTTTTATCAGAATCAAACTAAAAAAAGACCGTGTGATATATTTGTTCTATTTGATTTATTGTGATATTTATCAATGCAGAGTAGAAAGAAGAGATTATATGTTGTGATCATATATATTTTGTTAACTTTAGTTTAACTAAAGATCATAAAACACGAACAATATCTTCTTATAATAAAATATTTAATTGTTTAGATATCTTGATGCTCATTTATTATCAAAAGGTCTTGATCCATTAAATGTTAAAACTTATGAAAATGAAAATAAAAATGAAAAAGACTCAACTTCTTCGTCTTCTGATGATGATGATGACCATGGTATACATATTCTATTATTATTCTTGCAAATATTCTCAGTTTTTTTTGTTTCGTTTTAGTACCCATCCACCAAGACCAGCACAAGATAAGTGCTCAAAATTAAATATGAACAGTTAAAATTAGGTTAATTCTTTTTTTGTGTGTGTATGACCCTATTCATTTTTCTTTTTTTCCTCTCTCATCATTTTTTTTTGTTGAGTCGTGTTGAATTTTTTTGTTTTGCTGTTTTTTTTTTGTCTTTACTTTCATTATCCGTGATAAAAACGACACCATACTTCAAACATGCACTTGTATCAACCATTTAGAATTTACAATGAGATTAGAATCGATAATTTTCAACATTAAGAAACGGATTTATAGTAAGATTGGAAGATATCTTTTCTTTTTTTTTTGTTATTTTACGACCTTTCATCTTTTATGGATGAGAATAAAAACCATTTGTAGAAGAAGAAAAAATAATCGCCAATACTTACAGAAATATTCATACGTATAAGAAACAAAAATTTTCAATATGAATATAATCATATGTTTGATTATATTATGTCATTTATTTATAAATCAAATACAAACAGAACAATGTGAATTAACATTAAATGATGATATTCAATTGACAACAAATATATTTTTTCAATCACGACGTTTTTGTAGTTCATATGGTTTTCGTGCAAAAAATACACATCAAATATTTATATCAGGTCGTTTAGTTGATTATAAAAGTCATTGTAAACGAAGTATAAATAATGCAAATATTGAAATAATACATGTACAACCAAATTTTCGTTCAATTTGTCATGAACTTAATTATCCGAATTCAGATGGTTATTTTTATTTATCAACTTTAGTAACAATTCCATTAACTGAACAACTTTTCTTACGTGTAACATCACCTGATTATGAAACAATTATTAAAGAAATTATTTTACCATCATCACAAAATGTTATTCTCAATTGGCAAATTGTTTTAACACCAACTATTGAACCACGACAGCAACAACAACAACAACAACAAATGAATTCTATGATTGATTCTCTTATATCTCAAATGACATTAGATGAAAAAATTGGTCAATTAAATCTTGTTACAGTTGGTTTTGATATAACTGGTCCAATTGTAAGTCAAAACGTTGATGAAAATATTCGTAATGGTCTTGTTGGTGGTGTATTTAATACTTATACACCAAAAGCTGTTCGTGCATTACAAGAACTTGCTATGAATAGTACACGTTTAAAAATTCCATTAATTTTTGGCTATGATGTTATTCATGGACATAAAACTATTTTTCCAATATCATTAGGTATAAGTACAACATGGGATATGGCATTAATAGAACAAAGTGCACGTATTGCTGCTCAAGAAGCAACAGCTGATGGTCTTAATTGGGTTTTTTCACCAATGGTTGATATAGCACGTGATCCACGTTGGGGAAGAATATCTGAAGGTGCTGGTGAAGATCCTTGGTTAGGTAGTCAAATAGGTGCTGCTATGGTACGTGGTTATCAAGGATCTGATTTAGCGCGTTCGAATACAGCTATGGCATGTGTTAAACATTTTGCTTTCTATGGTGGTGCAGAAGCAGGTCGTGATTATAATACAGTTGATATGAGTCGTATAACAATGTATCAAAATTTTCTTCCACCTTATCAAGCAGCTATTAATGCTGGTGCAGGTAGTGTAATGACAGCATTTAATGAAGTTGATAGTATACCAGCATCAGCTAATCGTTGGTTATTACAAGATTTATTACGTGATCAATGGAAATTTAATGGATTTATTGTTACAGATTATACAGCAATTAATGAAATGATTCAACATGGTATAGGTGATCTACAAGAAGTTAGTGCTCGTGCATTAAATGCTGGTGTTGATATGGATATGGTTGGTGAAGGATTTTTAACAACATTAAAAAAATCTTTCAATGAAAAAAAAATCACTGAACATACAATAAATCAAGCATGTCGTCGTATACTTGAAGCAAAATATAAATTAGGTTTATTTGATGATCCCTATCGTTATTGTGATGAATCACGTATAGAAACAGATATATTTACATATGAAAATCGTTTAGCAGCAAAAGATTTAGCTCGTCGTTCATTTGTTCTTCTTAAAACTGATCGAAAAACATTACCATTAGCAAGAACAAATTTAAATCTTGCACTTGTTGGTCCATTAGCTGATGATCATAGAAATTTAATTGGTAGTTGGAGTGCTGCTGGTGATTGGCGACAAACAATTAGTGTTCGTGATGGTATTAATAAACTTCTTGGAAATCAAATACAAGTTTTATATGCAAAAGGATCAAATCTTATTGAAGATGTATCTTTACTTCAACAATTAAATGCACATGGTGGTGAAATTGTTTTAGATGAACGATCTGCTCAAGAAATGATTGATGAAGCTGTAGAAATATCAAACAAATCTGATATTATTGTTGCTGTTATCGGTGAAACACAAGGTATGACAGGTGAAGCAGCAAGTCGAGCAGATATTAGCATACCAGAATGTCAAAAACGTTTACTTAAAGCATTATTTGATACAGGTAAACCAGTTGTTATTGTATTAATGAATGGTCGACCAATGACATTAACATGGGAAAATGAACATGCAGCAGCAATTTTAGAAACATGGTTTGCTGGTACAGAAACTGGTAATGCTATTGCTGAAGTACTTTTTGGTTTTTATAATCCAGCTGGTAAACTTACAACAACATTTCCTCGTCATGTTGGACAAATTCCATTATATTATAATCATAAAAATACTGGACGACCATTTAATGCAACTCAAGTGACTGAAAAATATAAAGTAAATAAAAACAAAAGAATTTATTTAATTTCAAATGTTTTAAAATATGTTTTTTTTTTTGTTATTTCTAATTTAGAGTCGTTATTTAGATGTACCTAATGAACCATTGTATCCATTTGGCCATGGTCTTAGTTATACATCATTTAATTTTGATCCAATATCTGTTGATAAAAATGAACTTCGTGGTGATTCTGATCGTTTAACTGTACGTATTCGTATACATAATACTGGTGCATATGCTGGTGAAGAAGTTATTCAATTATATATAAGTGATCCAGCAGCAAGTGTAACACGAGCTGTACGTGAATTAAAAAATTTTAAAAAAATCTTTCTTCGGTCACAACAAGAAGAAGAAATTTCATTTATTATAACAACAAATGATTTAAAATTTTTTAATACTGATCTAGATTATATTTGGGAAGAAGGAGATTTTATTATTCATATTGGTCCTGATTCAGTTAATACTCAATCAGTACGAATTAAATGGCTCAAATAGAGAACTACAATAGAAAACAAACCGTTACACTTTTTTTTAAAATTCATGATGAACAAAAAAAAAAAGATTTTGAAAAACATAATAAGATTTTTTATTTTATTTTTTTCTTCAATTCATATAAAATTCTTAATTTCGTATTTAGATTAATAAACGTATATCTATAATAGAGTATATTCGAATTCAATATAATTGTATCACATCAAGTTTTCAATTGATTTAAACGAAATATTTTGAATTTTTCTCATTCAAATTTTCATCATTTACTATTATTCAAAATTTTCTATCAACTTTTAAACTTATTTGAAATACTTCTTTTGCATTGAATTTTAATTGTTAGAAAATAATATTTCGAGATTTTTGCTCTGTCAAACAAATAAGAAGATTAAAGCCAATCTAATATTTGCGTTATGGAAATTAAGTTCTGACATTTTTTTGAATTACATGCTATTAAAAAAAATAGTACTATTGTAAAAAGCCTTGAATATGTCAACGAGAAATTGATCGGATACTTAGTAAAAACAAAACATCGATGTTACTAATATTTTACTGGTAAAAAAAATCAATTCATTTTTGATAAACAAAGATTCTATTTTTTTTTATCAACATCGAAGAATTAAAAAAAAAAAAAGAGAGACAAGAATCTTAAAAATTTTAAAATATAAAAATTTCTTAATTCGAATATATCAAATGATATTAATTGTTTAATATATATAAGTAATGTGTGTGTTCAAAGTATAGATATTGACGCTTTCACAATCATCTATATTATGCCCTCATGTCGTGCGTTTGTTTCGCACTTGTTATTATTTCAAACAGCTTTTTTTTTTCGAATATAGTGAAGTGCTTATATATAATACTGTATATTTTTAAACGCGATGAGTATGGCAAAGATCAACATTCTCTTCAATAAGTTCATTTGTTCTTTTCACTTCCATTAAACAATATGAATGATAGATGATTATTGTATGTATTTTGTCCTTGGAAAAAACTTTTTTTTTTTGTAAATTTCGTTCTCTATTTTAATAATTCATTCGATTTATCTCTTTATCAACGTTTCAAATTTCTTCTAACATATTTAATTCAAAAGATTGTCCCGCCTTTTTTGTTCTTAACACGCATACATATGAATGGGTCATTTGACAAGCTTTTTTAATCGGATATTATTCCATTTCTTTTCTATTTTTAACTCATTATTCAATAGATTTTACATCATGCATTGTTAAAAATCTTTATAGTATATCATATAGAAATGACATTGAACACTTTCGTTTCTTTATAAGCATAGTATGTTAGTATGTACGTGTGTCATACACGGTTGATTTTTTTTTTCTTTTTTTTTTCTTTCAAAGTATAACGATTGATTGAAGAAAGACATAGAAGAGAAGTATAGGTAATTTGCTACACGAATCAAACTTCAATTGTTCGGCTGAATAACGTGGCCAATCGACATATACATAAACGTCGTAAATTATAGCCTATGAGACGAAAGAAGAGAGAGGTGATTGTCAAGAGATAACATACGTGCATACAGTGTAAACGTCAATATACATATGTAATTAGTACATATATGAATATATATACATACACGCATTATTTGTACCAATATGTTTAGGCAAGAGACACACTTGACTTAAAAAATAAAAAAAGAACGAAAACTCAAAAAAAACAAAATTCTTGTATTTTTTTTCTTGGACATGGATAAAGATAAATAAAATACTTCTTTTTTTTTTTTAATATAGTAGTACTATACATCTAAGATGAGAAAGAGACATCATTTGTTTGTCTACACTTTTAAGAATAACTACTAGTGAAATATATTTGTTAAACTGCAGACAACAAAAAAATCAAAAGGCTATTCGATACTTTTATCTTTTCTTTCTGTTTTTTTTCACGTTTTCTTTTTTTTTCTATTACTCTTTTTGTTTGTATGAAGGAAGCCTTTCTTTTTTTGCTCACTTATTCTTCTATTCAAATCTGAAATGTCACTTTCTCTTGTTGAGAATATTTATAACTACAGGAGCACAGATTCTATGTTTACTCGGCAGATGACATTGTCCATTTCTTTTTTCTCTTTTCTTTATGTCTACTATAACTAATTGTCTTAATTCATAATTTATTCACATAATGTAGACTTATGTCGGTTCAATGTATGTTGACGAAACAAACACAACACTTGATTTATTTGTTAAACGATTTATTTCTTCTGTACTTGAGTAAAACAAAAAAAAAAGAAAGAAGAAGAAAGGTGCCGGTTAGTAATTTTTCATGAAATATTTAAAGAACAGGCCGTCATTCATAGGAACAGTAATATTTCAATCAAATAAAACATGTTCAATTTGTCAAATGAACAACCGGATTTGAAAAGAAAAAGATGATTATGAGACTAGCAAGATTGCAATTAGGCCAAAAAAAAACGTATACTGGCAAGTGTCAAAGTCAAACGAAAGAAACATGTGAATATGTAGTGAGGTGCGAAGACAACTTGCTGTGATGATCGGTTAATGGGACTAATTTGAAAGAGAGCTCTTCTCAGTCAGCATGATCCGTTCATTCAGTTTTCACGCACGATTCTATATATATTACAAAGGTTTTGTTAACAGAAGTTGTGATACTCTGCTTATATTTCTTTGCCATCATCTCTCTAATATAATATGATGCTTTACATTTACACTTCGATTATTGCAGAAGGAAAAAGAGATCTGTTGCTTCTCATTTTCTTTCTTTCTTTCTTTCTGTTTTTCTCTCTTTTCTTTATACTCGTCTACTTATTTTTCATTGGCTCTGCCGTTCGTTTTATCGTGCCACCAATCGTGACCATTCTAATTATCCATTCCGTTCGAGGACAAGACCGATGACGTTGAGTAGAAAAGAAATAATACAGAGAGAAAAAAAAGAAAAGAGAGAAGTATTGATCGTACCTTAATTAACCTTTTCTGTTCTGATCCAGAGTGTTAGTAATGGTAGTGAGGTTCGGACATGAAGAAAAAGAGAGAAATTGGTAATCGAGCACCAATAGCAACCGAGAGAGAATAAGAGAACCTTTCTTCGTCTCGTGTATGCGCGTTTATTAGGCGATGGCTGTCTTATAGCTATTATGAAGTAAAGGCAATGTAGAGAAGAGAAAAGAAAACAGTATGATAGAAAGAAAATGATACTGAAACTCAATTCGACGAGAACGAGAATAAGAATAAGAAAAAAAAATGAGAGAAAGAAAGAAAGAAGCGAGAAAGAACAACATCAAGACATAGAGACACTCTACCCACCACCGAGAAAATGATATACATCCAACCTGCGCGCGAGCCAGCGAAAAAGAGAAGAAGCCAGAGAGAGAAAAAAATATATATATTCACTACCTCTTGCAACACTTAACGGTACATTGCGTTAAAAAGCAACGAGAAACAGAGAAGGAGAGAGAGGGAGAAAAAGAAAGAGCACAAAGAAATATCGACACACATACGACAAGTGATACCGACAGTCGATAATCCTTCTTTTTTTTTGTCTATCTTCTTATCCTAATGCTCGATTGATTTTGGACAAAACACGACAATTTATAAAAACACATTTGACAGGTTTGTCTCTATTAATTATAATTGATCAATTTAAATCAACACAGACTAACCAAGAACAAACAATATCAATAATCATTTTTTTTTTTATTATTGTTTTTATTTATTTCTAGAAAGTTATTCCACTTTTTGACCTAATCATATAAAAAGCCGTCAAAACGTTATCACTCAAGACTTTACTTCCAGCGCCACGTCCGCTTTTAGCGAACGTTGGCCTGGTTACATCTTCATCATCACCCATACCAACACACAAAACAAAAACATCTATTAGTCGATCACCATCATCATCATCATCATCATCAACAAATTCATCAAATTCATCCTCATCCGGTTCAACAAGATCCCGTTCTCGATCACCAATTTCTCGTCGTTCACGTTCACCAACACCTGATAAACCACCAACACCATCATCATCAACACCTCCTGTTACAATCAATAATTCCAATGTATCATCATCATTATTACAACAACAAGCAGCTGCAGCAGCTGTACTTTTTTCTAGTAGTTCACTTAGTTCATTATTACCTATGTATAGTATGGGTCTTTTTCCAATACCTCCCCCACCACCACCACCACCTATTTTACCTGCAGTCAATTTTTCACCCGAACAAATAGCACGTGTTTGTGAAACATTAGAAGAAAATGGTGATATTGATCGATTGGGAAGATTTCTTTGGTCATTACAAGTTGCACCTGGTTCAGCAAATCTTTTAGTACAACATGAAAGTATTTTACGTGCTCGAGCACTTGTAGCATTTCATTTGGGTAATTATCGTGAACTTTATCATTTATTGGAAAATCATAAATATACACGTGATTCACATGCAAAATTACAAGCTATGTGGATGGAAGCACATTATCAAGAAGCAGAAAAATTACGTGGACGACCATTAGGACCAGTAGGATTCTTTAGTTGGTTTTTTTTTGCTTTTGTTCATATTTAATTTAGGTTGATAAATATCGTGTACGAAAGAAATATCCATTACCACGTACAATATGGGATGGTGAACAAAAAACTCATTGTTTTAAAGAACGAACACGTTCTTTATTAAGAGAATGGTATTTACAAGATCCATATCCAAATCCGGCCAAAAAACGTGAACTTGCACAAGCAACTGGATTAACACCAACACAAGTAGGAAATTGGTTTAAAAACCGACGACAACGTGATCGTGCAGCACAAGCCAAAAATCGGTAGATATTTTTATTTTTTAATTGATTTTTAAATAATTCTTATATTTTTCTAGACAACAATATGGTATTGGTGCAGGTAGTTATTCTCCACCATCATCACCTGATTCTTCAACAACGTGAAGAGCAACATAAAACAAAACAAAAAACGCACACACAAAAAAAAAATTCGTCTCCCGGTGCTCTCTCGGTAAGGGAGACTCTCTTTGTATCTATATATATTTTCTGTCTCTCGCTCTTCTTCTTCTTCTTCTTGTTCTTCTTTTTTTTGTGTTCAGTGACATTTTCTTCGTTTTCTTTTTTTTTTGCTGTTGTTGTTTGCTATTCTATTACTATTACTATCACCTAGCTTTTCTTTTTGTCTCTTTGATTCGGATGTTTTCTTTTTTTTTCGTCTTTTGATTTTTTGCGTTTCTGAACAACCAATTTGTCGAATCATAAAAACAAAAAAAAAAAGAAATAAAACATATATATCAATTATGAGAAAAGAAAGCCTATATGGATGGATACAATGGCCGTGTAATTGACAAATGTTTCATTGCTCTCGTATGCCAGTTGATAAACACATCAACGTTTGTTTTCACTAGATCGTCTCTCTAATCGTTTGAGCGAGCGTATGCAGCTCCGTTCTCTTTCTCTTGTAATTATCCGATTCGCACGGATAAACATGCCGCTAGCCAGAGAGACACAGACAGACGATTTACTTATCCCCTTTTTTTTTCTACTAACTTGTCGTTTTTTTTCTCTCTCTCTTTCTCTGCTGCTAATATTTATCATTGACATCTCTTTCTCATAGAGAGATAGAGAAAAATTGGGATAATCATTATAATTGATGCTTGTCTTATTCTTTGTATTAAACAAAACAAAATTATTCATACATATTACTTTTTATTTTGACAAGCTATTTCTTAATAGAGAATTGAAAAATAGAAGAACTATTTTTCTGAAATCGATTTTGAGAGATCATTTATATGTTGTATTTGATGATTGGTTGGAAAAAAAAGAAAAGAAAAGGTTTAATCAGGCGGTAAATGCATCGAATCAGATTTGTTGAGAGAAACAAAAATCAATGATGATATAGCGTGCAGTCAAGGAGAAGGCCGACACATTTATACTAATTGCAATAGTTCGTTATGTAAACGCTTCTTCTTTTTTTATTTTCAACATGTTAAGTGATTGAACAGATGATCAAGAGAACAGTTCACCAAGGGGTGCCAACTTTTTCTATATTTGATCTGAAAATTTCATATTTATTATTATTATTATTTTTTTTCGTCGTTTCTTTTTCAAATTAATTACTAATTTGATGTATATGTGTATGTGAAATAAAAAGGATGTTTCGATGTTTAATAATGATGTAATCGTTGTCATCATTATCAACACTCTGACGTTATCAATATATCTATCTTCCTATCTAACTATCTCGCTTGTGTATGTGTCGATCACTTGTCACCTTGATCATCTTTTTTTTAACGTAAAAATCACACAAGTTATATCTTCAGGGATACAAGACTTTTTTTTGACGAAAGGTTTTGATAAGTATAAATTTTTTGATCTGGGTTGTCATGGGTCAAATTCATGTAAATACTACTAGCAAATAAAAAAGTTTGTTTTGTTTAACAATCTTATTAGAAAAATAAACTTTTGTATGCATTTTTTATTTTATTAAATTCAATGCTGTCATTATAGTTTGACAACAAAAAAAAAACCAGAATCGATAGAAGGAATTTCTTTCTTTTTGTTTTTTTCGTTCGAAAGAAAATAGAAGAAATTATTTAATCGTCAATCTTATTGATAATCTAAATATATGAACAAAAGAAACATGCAATCATTTGTATATATAGTGTTCATGTTTCACATCCTCAGGGTGTGAGATGATAATGAAGATTGCTTCATTGTTGTTGTTGTCGTTGTTATTCTTGACGAATTAGAATGGCAACTGATGAAAGATCTAGTATGCAACAAGGAAAAAAATCTGACAGAGATAATTATCCAGCATATATATATATATATATATATATAGAAAGGACAAGTGGTAATGTCTGAACGAGAGGCAGATAGAGAACTCGTCAACTATCTAACTAACACAAGAGTATGTGTCTGCTGAAGGCATTAATCTGTGGTGAATTTCCAAGTAATCGAATTGATTATAAATCAGTCGACGAGAAGGAGAACGATCTGCCGCTAGGCAGACAGAATGAAGAATCAGATTTCATCAGACGCGCGCGAATGCGGATGTGAAGACGTTTATTTTTTAGAACGCACAAGAATGCGGAAGCTGTTTCTATGTTATATTACGCTCTCGATCTTTGAAGGCGGAGAAGAACAAGAAGAAAAAACTCGAAATAGTTAGTAAGAAAAAGCAAAAGAACCTAGGATGAATGATTCTATCATCTTCAGACATGGATGATTAGCTACATAGACGAATACAAGACCTCTATTCTCTCTATGTATGTGCGTCACTGGGTGTTAAATTGTGACGCGTTGTCGATGATAGAAGGAAATAGAAAGATAATCTTGTTAGCTGCATCGACCGATCATCATCACCATCATTATTATTATTACTATAGACCATCAGTGTAAAATGACAGTAGAAAAAAGAGACTGATTGATTTCCGTATCCAGATGTCCAAAAGAAAAAAAAAAAAAGAAAGACGACCAAATGAAAATCTGTCGATAATAACTAGGATAACTTATCAATCAATAATTGTCAAATACTAATAAAATAGTATCTTTTTGATTCCGAATCTCATATATAAAATCATTTTCTTTTTTTGTGTCTATATTTATACACAGTAAAATAATTTGAACAAACATTAGTGTACAAGTCAGTTTTGATCATCATTCCGATTGTATCCATTGAGCAGCAGTTCTTCTCAGCATGAGCTTAAATAAATAGACTAATCAATACACATAACATTATTTGTCCTGATTAATGAATGAATGAATGAATAAATACACCAGAGCGTATATAACATATACATTATCAAATCTTTTTCTTTATGACTTGTTGATCTTTAAAAAAGACTAATTTTAACATTCTTTTTTTACTCATTGAACAGGTGTTAGATGTGTGCACTTCGTCTAATCAGTGATCATCATCATCAACATATTGAGAACGTAAAGCACAAGGCGTCAATTGGTAAACATTTTGTTTTCACACTTTCTTTTTCTTTTCAACAATGTTTGATCCTTCGTTTTGTCGTTGTCGGACAAGCCTCAAGGGATTTCTGTTGTCCGCATTGGAACTGTCGATCAAAAAGAAATAAAATGGAAACGACAGAGTAAAAATATTGACAAGCATTCATCGGTACATTTATGTGTGTGTGTATGAGAGAGAGAGAGAAAGAAGGGCCTAATGCAATTCGAGTATTATTGATAGTTTCTAACTAAGACGAATGACAAATATTATCTTATACATATGTATTATATATATATATATATATATGTTGTGTTTGACGGTTGAAAATCAGTATTGAACGATGACAAGTGGAAATAAGGAAAGAGAATATACAGAGTTCTATTTGTCTACGTAATGGATGAGATGGCCGTAAGCTACGTCGACTTGCTCACTTTTGTGTTTTTTTTTAATCTGTTTAACAGTCAAAAGACAGAAATATAAAAGAATAATAATGATAATAAGGATTATTTTATTGTCCAATCAACAAAAAAGAAAACTTTTATAATATAACAAATCCAAAAATTCTGTTTTTTTTGTGCTTTTAACTTCTTGTTCATCTTCTAGTCATTGAAATTGCTTTTGGATATTTTTGATATTTTACCAGAAAATTAATCATTTTAACCTATTCGATAAGTATAAGTGCTCTCAATAAATCTTTCGAGCATAAACGATGCGAACAGCATGTCAATGTTCTACAATTGTTTATGTGGATGATGTTCGAATGGTTGACTGATTCGACACTCTCAGATAACATTGGTTTTATCTTGTATTTCTCAAATGTGTTATTTAGAACGTTGTCTTTAACATTAAAAATTAGTAATAAGTAGAATAGACAGATGTTCAAGCGTAAGTCGAGTATCTCATTAGAGAAACGCCAAGCGCGAGAGAGAGAGAGAAAGAAAACGAGATGTACTCCTTCATTTTTTTTTCAATCGCTATAATGAACTCTCAACATCATCTGTACACATGCTACTGTGAATGAGACTCAATGTCATAATATTATGTTGTTCAACTATACTTTAATATTGTATTGAAAGAAAAAATTAACTTCAATTTGACTTTTCAATTTATATACACTCGACATATTCTTTTTCCAAAATATATAACAGTGTTTAAAATGATTTTTATTTTGAATAGAAATCAATGATTGTACATGGTGAGCTCACACACATTGAGGTTAACTGTGTAAAGAGCAATGAGACTTACAACAGCAGGGAATCTGTTTAATAAGAAGAATAAGATTGAAACATTTGCACACGTTATGTGACGCACATCTATCAATGTGTTGTCTAGATCGATAATGATATCTTGTGTGACTCTAACACTTCATTAGAAAAGATGATGTTAGTATATCTCTTTTTTTTTTCTGTCAATGACTAAATGTAAAAAGGAAATGAGAATGCCACTATTTAATTTGACACACATATATACACTCTAATACTGAATCGTGCGCCATGCAATGAAGAACATGACATCCGTAAGACGCTCATGCACATTCGATGATAATGATGATTATGATTTTAGTACGGTAAAGGTGTGTGTGTATGTGTGCGTGTGTGTGTACTTTGCGCGAGAACGAGCAAATTCCGTTTGACAAACGTTTCCGATCTATGAACGGTCGTATCTTCTACTTATTTGACAACGAAATGAAGTGCATGAGATGAAGGTATTAAAAGAGGAAATTGATCGTTTCCGTTAAAAAAATAGATATAAAAGTAACACACACATACACATATTGCACTTCATTTTTACTTTACTATTTAAATCTTTCATCTTATTTCTAACAAGTAAATTCATCGTATAAGTTAAATAGTTTTTCTATCGGCAATTTGTAATTTGTCACAAATAAATATCTTGTTAGTTATAACTATATTCTAAACACTTGTTATAATCTATCTTAAGATAAGGAAATACTTTGCTTTCCCTTCTTTCTTTCTTTTTT